TTTGACCCCAAAGTGCGGTGTTACAAAGCTTAAAACCTGACACTACAAGTCTATGTAAACTAAGTCATCGCAAGGGTAACACAATTATTGACCATTGGGACATGACTGTAGAGGACTAGGCAATGCTTCATGTCGCAAATCAAATCTAAAAATACTTTAAATGTTTTCCAGTATAAATCCACATAAACTAACTGACCCACGGCTCATGACTAATTTAAACCCCAGGGGGGGGGGGGGCATGATTTATATAACTTTTGAGGAGGGCAACAGGGACGCTAAAGCTACTTGCCAAATATCTATGTTGTTTCGGAGAAGAGGATTTTAAAAACATTTTTAAAATGTCAAAAACAATCAAGTGGTGAAAAGGAAATGTTCTTTAAATAAATTGCGGATGAACGGCGGACACACTGCCATAACAAAAGCCAACATCTGAACATAATGTCCCCTGGTGTGCTAAAATATTATCAGTATTATCAGCTTTGGGAAGTTTACTATTTTTCCCCAAATAATGAAACGTAAGTCTATTAAATAAGAACCTTGAATCATTTGATTTAGAGAGGTGATGTAGGTATACAGTGAAAAAAAACCTAAAAAAACAACAACAAATAGCGAGAAATTGTGTCGGCAAAAAAATACCAGAGATCTGGAAAAAAAGTTATCTGTAGATGTTATTTGTCTCTGAATCTAGATCTACTGAGCATTTTTCATTCTATTTAGCTCTTCACATTTCCTTTAAAAAAAATACATGTAAATTAATATATGACAAAGCCATAAAATTTATTTATCTCAGACCAAGTACAATGTACATGTATCTTCATATTTCATTTGAAAGTTCCTGATAAAAAAAATATTTTGCATTATTTAAATCTGGAGGATATTCAAGTTTTTTTTCTATAGAGATTTAGTTCCATCGAGTGGCATGAAAATAAATATTTCACGAGTGGCGGTAGCCACGAGTGAAATATGATAATTTTTATGCCATTAGATGAAGATAAATTCTGTATTTGTAGAAAAAAACTTAAATATACGTATTTCTCTTATTAGACATTGGAATTTGAAAGACTCTCTCTTGAATTTTGTGTATTATCTGAATTTAGAAGAAAGTAGTCCGACAAGACACCAGTGGAAATACGGCAAATATGTTCCACTGCGGCGAAAAATACGGAAAATGAAAATAAGCATTTTATTTCATAAAAAATATTTCATTTTAAGGAGAATATTCTAGACTCGACATACGTAATCTTATAAAAATTTAATCCCCGTTTAAATGCGTGATTTAAATTTATATTCCCCTTTAATTTTTTCAATTTACACTTTTCCCTGATTTCATAGAGGGGCTTTTTCTATTTAAATTTACGCTAATAAAAAAAATATCGAAATTAAAGTGATAATATGGCTAGATTAATCTCACGACCTGTACATATTTTGTCATATATAGATCTAGATGTATTCTAAATAAACAAAATATGATTATTTTTGCGCTTTCTAGCTAATTTTAATCATAAAATTTCTTTTTTACATTTGTTAACGTGCTTTTCCCAGGGAAATTTTAAATTTAAGCGTTCACCCTTTCCCCTTTTCCCACCTTTTTCCCCCCTTACTGATTCTTTTAATCGCGAACGCAAATCCATGCTCTAGGCGCCCGATTAGTTTACAAACTAACCCGTGCCCCCAAAATATATACCCCTGATCAGTCTTCCTTTTGTTTCATTGGTGTAAAGTGTGCCCTCAATTAGGTTTTAAATGACCTACCCTTTTCCCGGGATGGTACATTTATTATATTTTTTCACACCACCCCCTTTAAATTGGAGAGAAAAAAACATCGTGTTTGTTTATTTTAAAAAAATAGATGATATGAAAGGAACTTTTGGATGGGGTTTTCCCCACCCCCCCGAAAACCCCCGTCTTCGAATTATAAGTTTATCTTTTTAAAACATCGCTGCTCGCATTGTTTCTATTCAGCCTATTGTTGTCATTTTCGTTTGTTGATTTTTATCTCATAATCTTTCAAACAATAGTTTTATTTGTATATCTTCTGCATCTTTAATTTATATTTTGAAAGTAGGCCTACATCGCGATTATGATCCATGCAGTATAGTAAACTAGCTCGTATCAACGGTGTGATTTTTACTTTTATAAATTTTTGAAACATTCAAAACATGAATTGAGATGTGACTGAGAGAACGGACAAATAACACTTGTATTGTTCCATTCATCATTTTCACTGTTTAATGTTTTATGCATTCAATCCAGTGTACTTTTAAATAGTGAACTGTGATGCAAGGTAAATGCTGCGACTTTGGTTGTGCAAGACTTCTTTGAGACTGACATCGAGTTGTTTCCCTTTGCGCATGATTTCCACGCTTAAATCACGACCAGTTAAAATATATTACGAGTGATTGTGTAGTATTTCTTATAGTATTGTTGCATTCATTCGTTCTTTTGGAATTAAAGATGTAAGTTGGTGTTAAAGTTATTTTTTTTCTTTTAAAGAAGTAAATGATGTTTAATTGGAACTTGAACCACCGATTGCGTATCAATAGGTCAAGTTATACAAATTATACAATCGACCTAGATTTGTCATACTGTACTTCAGACACGGGAGTTCAATAAGTATAACGTTCGGAGATAACTCAAAGTTGCATTTTACGTGCAGTTGCTGTCGTTCACAGTAAAATTCAATGTATAGATACTTATAAATTAAAATTTTAGTGATTGATTAATACAGTACCCATATTTCAATGTAGTACATATATATATTTGAGGTTGTTTTCCTGCACGAGTCAGTAATGAGTAATGACTAATATAAAATATTACTATAATGTTGACACCCGCATAAGTTTGTCAAACACAGAGTTTTTTGTTTTTTTGATGAAAGCATTTTTCACCATTTTTGGAAATTGAACTTAATTTAAAATGATACAGTGGGGAAAAAGCTATAAAATACTCCTGTAATCAAATTTTTTTAAAAACTGGGAAATTTGTTTAACTTTATATAAATTTTAATTGTTAAATTTTTTGTCTGTAATGAAAGTTGATTTTAAATTATACAATTGGGATTTTGCCCAAAAATAAATTTTATCTAGTCGGCTAGGGTGGCAAAAAAATTGTCCTAGGGTTGCCCTACACTTGTACGACAAGTGGACATTTTCAAAAATTTACAAAAAATAATTTTAGGGACGAGGGAAAAAGCCCAAAAAGTCAAAAAAGATTTTGCGGCCCTGGGGGCTTTCCCTTTCCTTTTGTTCCCGGCCCGCCAACTAAAAATTAATAGAAAACCTTGCGAGTTACCTTAAAAGAAAAATTTATAAGTTAATGTGAGGAAAACGGTAAATGCTGGACGTGTAGGAAAAAAAAAGAATAAAAAAAATCAATGAAGGAATTTTTTTCCAAGTACAAACTTAATATTTTCTCCCTTTTCGGGCTTTTTAGGGTTTTAAATGGTTCTAAATGGGGAAAAGGGGAAAAAATTGTCCCCAAATTTTGGGGGTTTGTTTAAAATTTTAACCCCTAGATTTTTTTCTAAAAGGGTTAATCCTATAAAATGATAAATTTAAAAATCATAATTAATTTTATATTTTAATTCTTTGAGATCAATCAAAAACAACCAATTAAAAAAGGAAAATTTTTTTTAAAAAAGAAATCAAAAAGAAGTTTTTGTAAAACAACTATGGGCAATGATGGTTAAAAACCCCGAAACTTGACCTTTTTAGGGAAATTTATTTTTTGGGCATGAAGATGTTAAAAATTTTTAAAAAAACAAAATTTAAGGGGCCTTTTAAATTTTTAAAGGGGTTAAACCCTGAAAAAATCTTAAAAAAAGGGCCCAATTTGGGACAAAACCCGGGAATTTAAAAGTTAAAATTGGATGAAAATTGTATTTGGGTTTCAAAATTTTAAAGGGGTTTTGTTAGTTTAAATGGAAAGTGTTTTTTTTAATTTGGGTATATGAATAAAAAAAAACCAAGGAATTATGTTTTACGTTTTGAATGAAAAAAATTTATCGTGGGATGAAATTAAAAATTTAAAAAATTTTGATACATAAAAATTTTTTGGGGTTCTTGACATTTTTAAAAAATGATTTATTGATTGGGGTTTATTTCTTATGAAAAATAACAAATTTTTAAGGGAAAAAAAGGGAAAAATCTTATTAAATTTTGTTTTTAGGTTACCTTAAAATTATTTTAAAAAACGGGTGTACCCAATATTTACCTTTATTTTTCCTTTTGATGTTTTAAAACTTTTCTTCTTGTAATAGTAAATACTGTAAATATAAAGGCATGTCATATCATTAAATGTTTCACAATGACATAAAAATAGACTGCATATTAAAGTTGTCTAAAAAGACTTTCTGACAATTTAATGACTAGAAATATTAAGTTAAAAAAAATATTAATAAAATTTGAAATTTATATAGTCCCTAATATTATAAAAAAAAGCATTAAGCTAATATTTAATTGTAAATCTACAAATGATTTATAAAAATACAAGCTTGTGAAACGTGTATATAAGATGACTTAAAAAATGAGTGAAGTAACTCCGGAATCATAAATGTTTTTATCAAAGTATGAAATTGAGGTTTTATTATTCTTTAGTGTTTAAAATTATTTATACAAACCTATACTTAAAAATATTGATAATTTGTTTATGAAAAATTTTAGTGTATAATTATCTTGTATTTAAATTCTAGGGCCAGTCCAGTAGAACACTCATGGACAGTCCCAAGTCTGTTGTAGACGAGACATCGGAGAGAGAAGCCGTTGAGACCCTGCTTTCTATCTGTAAAGCTCCTAGCCCAGCAAGCAGTGAGCATAGCATGGATTCCACATGTTCATCAACATCCAATGACCCTTGGAATCTTCCTGGTGACCCTCCACCGCAACCTTTATATGGTCCATATTCTAGTCCATCTAGGAGCTCAAAAACATGGGTGCCGCATTTATGATTCTACGTCATCTGCCAATTACCCTGCTGTACCAGAATCTAACAGTTTAGAAAAAATGCGGGCTATTCCATTAGGGAGAGACTCTAGTTGGCCCAGGGTAAATGAAAAAGTATTAAATGTATTTATTTAATAGATAAATATATGTCGCTGTTATACAATGAGAAGCTTAAGTACTTAAATGTTAACGATAAAAAAAGAGTTTTAAATGTTAACATTGTTAGACTAGAGTCATTGATAGGACAGGAAAACCGAAATACGTGTTGATTTTGTTGTAGGTCTTAATTTAATTTGTAACACTATATTTTATAAGTTTTTTTTTTAATATATATATAAAATACTTTTAAATTTAATGTCTGTAATTCATTTCAGTTTGCTATATTTTAGGAATGAGAAGTTACATGCTTGGACTAATTGACTAATATTGTTTTCAGTTACTGATGGAAGGACCTTTAGAAAGAAAATCTGGACAAACCATGATGTCTGCTGCACCTTCAGTAGGTGACCCTTGCAGAGGTCAACCCGTCTCTGTAATTGTGCCAACCAGTAGGAGTCAGTCCTGTCTCCCGGCAAAGAAAAGACTGATTATACGTAACAATAGGGAGAATAGTGATCCAGTTAGTGTTTGTCAAAATAGTCAAAACAATTTGTTCAATGGTGCTTCTACAATGAACTCGACAGGAAGTGAAACAAGCTCATATTCTATCTCTAGTCCATCTTATTCAATTACTGAAATGACTCCATTAAGTGACTCAAATACTTTACAAGGAATATCATCATCATCATCACAGATTCTTGGAATTAAACCATTATCAGGGCATTCATCATCAGACCACTGTGCAGTTATCGGAGGCAGAGGACTCGTCTTTATGGAATATCCTTCTTCTGCTTCACCTCTAATTGCAGAACCTCTTAATCAGCAGTAGAAACAGTTGGACAAAACTCAGAACACAAACAATTTTAAAATTCTTCCTAATGCTTTATCAGGATCACATGTTGCCCCATTACCCATAGTGCTTACAAGATCTCCTAACGGGGAAATCACACAGCAGCCACCTATTGTTCAAGTCATTTTCATGAACAGTAACTGTGCAGCAACTTGCAAGGCAAGTAATATGCCAGGACTTTGTCCCATTGCTCCGGCCCCTCTGACGAGACACACAACAGAACAAGATATAGAGGTAATTGGCAGTTCAAGGTCAAGGCCGCACAGATGTACATACAAGGGATGTGACAAGACATACTTTAAAAGTTCACACCTGAAGGCTCATTACAGAACACACACAGGTTTGTTGTTTAGATAAATTAAGGATGATACAATGATACTGCCAGTTTTTAAAAAACAGTACACAATTCAGTTTTAGTTGTCATGGTTGTTATAATTATAGTAATTATTTGTTTTAAATAAAATGGATTTCGATATTAACAGTTAATGGAATAGCCATGTGGTATTTGCAGTTAAGGAGGAAATTATTCATTTATAAATGATTCCTGACAGGGAGAACCGGTTATTCAGAAACACAACACGGAAAATAATCAATTTATAGAATAATAAAAATTTATGGAAGGACAATTTAACTATCAAGTTTTACAGCGATCATAAATATACAGTTTCTTTGTCAATCTGACCGTAAAAAGTTATAAATAAAGTTAGTAAAGTTCAGTGAATACATAATTAATAAGTAAATATTTATGATAATATGACATTCATTGTATATGATATAATTATCAAGTACATAAAGTATAATGTAGGGACAAAGTACATGTTCCATAATCAGTTTGTCAGTGCTTTTCCATTAATTATTAAATGACATACTTTTTAACACTGTCTCTTTAAATGTCAACATACTATAACAAAAGCTTATTGTCATAAGGATGTTTAGACAGAAAAAACAACAAAATCACTGAATCAGATTATTGTCATTTGTATAGAAGCTAAAATGTATACAACTACTTTGAAAACAAAGAATGTATGATCACTTTGTTCACTGACCCAAGATTTGTTACACTGTGTAAGACTGAAATATGAAAGTTACAGATTTAAAAGAAAGTAAAATAAAACATGATTTCTGTTTTATTATGTATTATAGCCATATTATGAAGTTTATTTTTTTGAACTTTTTAAGTTTCTCTTTAAATAAATAATTTTTTTTTTTTTCAAATTTATTTTATTTTATCATGATTTGAACTTTTTAAGAAGGGATTTGAAATCATACATCCATTCACAATAGAAAATGTAAGTTCTACAAAGATTTGTATATAAAAAACATAATGTCTTTATTTGTTTCAGGAGAGAAGCCATTCATTTGTACATGGAAAAGCTGTGACAGAAAATTTGCCAGATCTGATGAGCTTTCCCGTCATAGACGGACTCACACTGGCGAGAAAAACTTTGTGTGCCCTCTGTGTGAGAAACGTTTCATTAGAAGTGATCATATGTCAAAACATTTAAGTTAGGCATACCAGCAGCCCACGTCCAAAATCAAAAGGAAAGAAAGGATGTTGAACAATCCATGGAAGTTGTTAATGAGAAAGTGGTTGAACAGTCCATGGAAGTTGTTCGTGAGAAAGTGGTTGTTGAGCCATTAGTTGAAAAGGACAGAGCAGTGGATATTTCAGAAGATTCGCATATGTCGTGGTCGGCGGAAGCTTTGTGCATGGATCTGCACAGGCAGTCGCAGATTAAGTTACATATATAAGATCAATTTTTTACACCCGGTTAATAACATGTCATAAATATATAGTATTTATTTTTCATGTTTATGTGTATTTTGTTTGAGAAAGCTTTTGGTTTGAAAACCATTTTTTTGTTGTTTATAATTTGTTAAGCAATTGTCTCTAAAACTGTGTATTTTGACAAAGGAAATGTGCAGTTGTATAGTATGGTTGTATGATTATACATGTAAATTCACATACGTGCATAATGTCCTGGTTGAATATTTTCATGGATACCATAATGATAGATTATTTATTTAAGAAAAGATACAAAAAGTGCTAGGCATTATTTCACCTTTAACCTGCTGACCTTAATAAATTAACATACCCAGTTTCCTGTTTTTGAAACTTACAATTTTTGGAATGCTATGATGAATTGGCCAGCAATATAGAGCCTGGTCAGACTGCGTGGATGTGCAGACTGGTCTGGCTCTATACTGGTAGCAAAGACTTATCATTTTCAGTAGGTCAAAGGGTAATGTTTCACACCTTTTATACATTTGTAGCATTATTCTTTTTAAGTCTACATACATACAGTATTGCATGCTAAAAATAATTAAAGACCCAAATTAAAGGTAATATCAACTTGTTTTCCTCCTTATCAATTAGAATGCTGGTATTAAATCACTATTGTTAAATTTTAGGATATATACATGTATATTTCTTAATTATGAAAAATATCTCTGATACATTTGTAAATGAGCAAAACATATATAATGATATACATATTTGACATACAAATTACCCCTAGCTTTATGTAACATTATAAATGCAAATCATTCCAAATTGTGTGTCCTTAATATTATATTCTTACATAGTATGTATTATTTTTGTATATTTTGTAAGCCTTGTTACATAAATTATAATTATGTGTTTGTTATTACATTTTAATTTAAGGTCTAAAGGGTAAATACTTGATACCAGAATTTAAGTGTATACTGAACGGTGCAATACTATTGAATTTTGTTGTTAATGAGCTCAACTGATAGTTTTAACTTAGTTTTTACTTAAACCCCTTTAGAACGGAATAGATATTCCATGCGGTCAGTAAACCAAATAAAACAAATCAATCCAATGGGGAAATATTTTACTAGTGAAGTTTAGATTTATTGGCGGAAAATGACTCTAGACAAAGGCATAATGGTGAATTGTTAGCAATTTGGATTTAATCCTTTACTTATATTTATATCTTTCAAATATGTTTATTACCGTGAAAATATGTTTGATAATAACTGAAAGTGAACAATCTAAAATTGCTAACTGCACAGCGCTAGGCCAGGCTATAATATGAGCTAGGCCAGCTTGTAATATCCATGCAGTGTGATCATACTCTTATACTGTTGGCTGGCTCATTTAAGAATTTTAATCTTGATATCCCCCAGAATTGTAAATGATAAGTTTAAAAAATGACAAGCAGATAATTCTAGGCAATAGGTGTAGAAGGAAAAGAGTTAAACATTAATTTGTTAATCAAAGTGTTCTTTTTTGTGCCATTATTGTTGTTTATTGTATTTAATGAATGTTTTGTTGACATAGACATGATAGAGAAGGAAATTTTTTTTTTAACTCTTGTTCAAATCAGTTTTATCATACAGTAGCTTTTGTACTTTTTGTTCAAAGTCAGTATCTTTAACTTAAGTCCCATATAGATATTTATCGGATATTATTTGATATTATTACTATTTTCAGTTATTACTGAATGTATTAAAATATTTTCTGTAAGTGCCACATTGGTTATTGATTTATTTGGATATAATGTGAAGGACTTTTTATCCTTATAATTTTTGAATTTTGGTATGTTTTCACCATGTCAAGTTCATATCACAAGTATTATGCTGAAATGGCAAACACTTTTTTTTTGACAAATACAAGTAATTAGTTATTATTCTTTATGAAAATAACTTTTCTAATTGAAGGAACTTGATTAATTAGAAAAAATGGTTAATGTATTTTTTTTTTTTCTTTTTTTTTTTCCAATGCAGAAAAGCTTTTAATGAACAATTTATGTTAAAAATTATAAAAAAAACTTGGAAGCATACACCTGTACATCTGTTAAATCTGATATTTTTTTTTTGTACTCCAGTATTGCATTAGTCTTAAGCTATTTATATTTTCATATTTGCATAATTGTCATTTAAGGGGTTCTAATGTATCCTCTATTACATGAAACAGTGTAAAATATTTTTTGCATTGTGTCGACATTTAACCATTTACACACACACACAAAATCCTTCGTCACAATTCAGGACATAATCTGTTCTCTCCTGGGAACCATTTCTTTGATATAATATGAGCAATTCTGACTGCATTCATGACTAAATTTATATATATACAAGTATGTATTATATCATTTACATTGACATATCTCTTTGTGTATTCCTTCTGGCAACATGTTTTAATCTTACTTTTTCATGAAATCCAAATCACAAATGCAAATATTGAAACTTTGTCTACATAGAATATTATGAGTTATACATATTAATCATAGATATAAAAAGATTTGTTTTTTTGGCGTAACCAGATGTTTATAATCTCCATATCAAAGTTCTATATAATGGCTTTTTACCATGGCATAACTTATTTAATATCTAAGTATACATATATACTCAAAGATACTGTGGTAAATAGACAAATGTAATAAGTGTTTGTAATGGAAAGATAATTTTGTTAAAAAAAGCTACATTATTTATGTATTTATTTATTTTCTACAAACCATATTCTGAACAAAATATCACAGTATTGGTTTAATAACCATAATAATAATGTGTATAATTGGCCAGATCAGTTTAGTAAATGATGAAATGTTTAAAAACCTGACTGTTTTGACAAAGTCTATGTTATAGTATAATGTTGTATGAAGGCTTTTTGAATTGTAATTTAACATTACCTCCCGAGTGTATGCTTGAAATAAACTCCATCTTGGAATTCTTAATCAAATTGATCTTAAAAGGAACAAAATTTTATTAATTTTTTTTTCTTATTGTATAAAAGAGGGGCTAATGCTGGGTTAAACTTTTTAATATTTGCATTTCTGGCAGTAATATTGACTTATATTTGTCGCCAGTTTAGACCCAGGCTAGTTTGTACGTTCATGAAGTCTGACAAAACTCTATTGATATACTGTTGGCTGACTAATATTAAATTTTCATCTTGAAATTGCAATATCTTTAAAATCAAGTTCCAAAAATTGGAAAATGTTTAACTCCAATTTAGAAATTCAGCAGGTGAAGAGTTTAAATAGACCCTTTTATGTAATATATATACATGGGAAAAATCTTGTCATAAAGAATATTTTTACATACTTCAATTTGCCAATAGTTACAACTTACAAATTTACAGTACTGTAAGATGCAATACTCCTATTTAGGCAAATCTATCCAGAAATGACTTTGAATGCCCAAGTCTTTTATTACTTTTACTGGAATGAAAAGGTTGATAACAAGGGGTAAAATAAATCACTTAAAAATGGCATCAAAATTTTCAAATACAAATTACAATATGCAATATATAGACAGCACTATTATTTACTTGTACATTGCTGATTAAAGGTTGTATTTGTCACAAGAATTATGACTGAAGTATATTACTTCTGGTAAATGTTGAAAGATGTGAAAAACCTTGTCTAAACATCTTACAATTCAAATTTCAATGCATCTGCATTTACGTACATGCAATGTAATGAACCTTAACATGAACCTTTACAAGGAAAATTATTCTGTTTAACCCAGTTTAAAAATAAGGTTAAAATTCTTCAAAATTTGATTTTTTTTGTTTTTTGTTTTGGGACATAGTGACATAGTTTTGTTGTAAAATTTGTAGTTTTATTTTTGTAAAGATGTCGTAACTTTTGTATGGCAGATGTTAGTGTAATTTCAGTTTAAAACTGTTACAAAAAATGTTTTGTTGAATTGTTTGACATAATGTGAATGGATTGTTATTCATACTGTGCTAGTCTATTGAAATGTTATATTGTTTATTTGTGTATATAGTTGCTAAGTATTTATTTGATTTCTTATTGGTTACAATGCAATAGCAAAAAAAATAAAGGTTTTTTTTGTAGAGAAGCCTTGGTGTTCTTTGGGGATTTGGAGGGGGTGGGGGGTGGGGGCGCTAAATGGAAGAGGAGACACCACTTGTTAATTGAGATCCAGAGATAGAAAGCTATTTGTCAGTCGCTGATACTGCAAAAGTCATAAGGCATCTTTTAAGTTTTACTGGCGGAGGAATACCTGTAGTGCCCCTTTTCATAATATTTCAATTCACCTTCTGGTAATGGAGCAGAACTAAGTACATTCTATATAAAGCTGACCACATTGAAATGAAAGAAACCAAAGCCTATTCATGATTGAAACTCACAAGGTTAGGGATAAATGATCTGAAGTCAACAGCCCCATCCATTGTGCCACATATGCTAGAATTCTACTGGAGACAAATTGATGTTTCCTTATGTGAAGCAGAAGTAATGATACAAGAATGTGTACAGTCTTCTGTTTGATTGAGCTTAAAGCTTATCTATGAAAACCGTAGATTTTGAATCTGGAATAAACCAGTACTGGTGCCATATTAGAAAATGTGGTTGTGACCGCCAGTAGGGCTCAAACCAATGGTTCCTATGTTGAGAGGCAGGCATTTAATCACAAGGCCCTTCTTAATAAACTTAAATCTTGGTGCTTAGAATCACTTACATTTCTCTTAATTCTGTTAGAAAATATATACAAAGTGACACTCAGTGTTTTTTACTTGAGAATACTATGTGAGAGACATGGCCCATTTAAAGTAGACAATGGCAGGCCCCCATATTTTTGTCCATGGTTTCATCTGCATGGCCTTTTTTTTGGAAATCAGTTATGTAACATTATAAAAGTCATGAGCTAGAGCTGTCCATAACATTTTCTATGAATACTGAAACTCTCTTAGTATAACATGAAACTCCATCCTGCCCCTTACCACTTTGACTTACAAAAATATAAGGATCTTTCTCCAGCTGCTGGTACAGACCTGAATATCTGGCTCGAGTGTAACTGTTTAGGGCAGTAACAAGGCTTGTCGATTCACTAAACATTTACCCAAACAGCTAGCTATTCCTGCCTATGATGACAGCCAGTGTTTTGATTCTTTTTCTTGCATATTACAAATTAATGAAATAAGAAAACTACTATTTTCATTTAGCAAGTTTTTCTAAGAGTAGCATATGAATTTACAACTTCATTCATAACAGCACAATGATGTCATCCTAAGAATGCAATTCATTCATAAAAGCACATGGGATCAATAAATAATGTCGAACGACACATATGTACCCCTTTCTAGCCCTTGACTCACATTATTGGTAATTTTGTTATAGAAGCTTGCCATAAATGGGTACATGGAAGTGTTCAATTACGGAAAAAAGAAAAATAATGAAGACTTTGTGATAAATAGTTTTCAAGATAATGAGTCATTTAAGGCCCGTGACCTTGACCTTTCACCTAGTGACCCAAAACCAATAGGGCTCATCTTATTGTTATGATCACTCAATATGTGAAATATGAAGACTTTGTGATAAATAGCTTTCAAGATAATGAGCAGAAACCATACTAACATTCAAGAACCCTGTGACCTTGACCTTTGACATAGTGACCCTAAAATCAATAGGGGTCACTTACTAGCTATGACCAATCAGTATGTGAAATATGAAGACTTTGTGATAAATAGATTTCAAGATAATAAGTGGAAACCATTTTGACATTTAAGACCCCTGTGACCTTGACCTAGTGACCCCAAAAGCAAAAGGGCTCGACCAAGCACTATGTGAAATATGAAGACTTTGTTATAAATAGTAACCAAGATAATAAGCAGAAATCATACTACCATTCAAGGCCCCTGTGACCTAGACCTTTGACCTAGTGACCCCAAAATCAATAGGAATCATCTACTAGTTATGACCAATCAATATGTGAAATATGAAGACTTTGTGATGAATACTTTTCAAGATAATCAGCAGAAACCATTTTGACATTTAAGGCCCCTGTGACCTTGACCTTTGACCTAGTGACCCTAAAATCAACGAGAGTCATCTACTAGTTATGACCAATCAGTATGTGGAATATGACAACTTTGTAATGAATACTTTTCAAGATAATCAGCTGAAACCATTTAGACATTTAAGGCCCCTATGGCCTTAACCTTTGACCTAGTGACCCTCAAATCAGTAGGGGTCATAAACTAGTTATGACCAATCAATATGTGAAATATGAAGACTTTGTGATAAATAGTTTTCAAGATAATAAGCGGAAACCATATAACTATTCAAGGCCCATGACCTTGACCTTTGATGTTATTAACCCAAAATCAATAGGGGTGACATGACCGGGTCATCTATTAGTTATATATACCTATCAATATGTGAAATATGAAGACGGAATCAGCGGAAACCATTCTGACTTTTAAGGCCCCTGTGACCTTGACCTTTGACCCTAAAAGCAATAGGGGTCATCTACTAGTTATGACCAATCAGTATGTGAAATATGACAACTTTGTGGTGAATACTTTTCAAGATAATCAGTGGAAACCATTTTGAAATTTAAGGCCCCTGTGACCTTGACCTTCAATAGGGGTCATCTACTAGTTATGACCAATCACTATGTGAAATATGAAGACTCTGTGATAAATAGTTTTCAAGAAAATCAGCGGAAACCGAGTGGTCTACCGACGGACAGACCAACACACAGACCGACATTAGCAAAACAATATACCCCCTCTTCTTTGAAGGGGGGCATAATAACATTATTTAAAACAGGCAGCTTTGGGTGTGTAAGAAGGATTTTCTAGCACTGGTGTAAACAGTTCTGATATGCAAAAAAAAACTGCATTCTTTCATCCAAGGAAGTCATCTAATTTGGGGTTAATGATTCTACTCAGATGCCCGTTTGCCCCTTAAATAATGCATTAAATGGCACCTTTGATTTTCCTTCTCCATATGTGTCATAACAGACTTACTATCCAATAACATACATTGTGAACTTTTTTCGATGATGAAGTGGGAGATTTTTCTTGTAAAAGAGGGAGGTTTTAGAATTTGCAATAAACAAAGAAGGAAGTTCTGACATCAAAATAAGGATTTAATTTGTGAAAATACCCCTTACTTCAAGAAAAATCTTTGAAAATATGACTGCAGAAAGTGGAAGTCTCACACTAAAAGTGGGAGAGTTCACATGTATGCAATTAAATATTAAAATCAAGTATGAGCTTGCAGTCTTCTTTATTATCGAGCTTCTTCAGATACATGTATATTAAACTTACCTTACCAACAAATAAACCAATAGTCCTTTCATTCCAATAAATTCTACACATACTTTAGAAGACTACAATGAATGTAAATGAGAATTAAATCAATGATAATATTTATGAACAAGAAATATATTGAAGATTCCTATAAGAATTTGATAAATTCAAGTCGGACTAAGTGATTGCTAAAGCAACTCCTATTAAAAAGGGGAATAACTGTGAAAAATACAATGAACTGGAAAATGCTTCTACATGCTAATCTCCTCTTGACTTGGTAGTGAATTCAGTGAATTCTAGTCAGTGGTTGCTAAGCAAACGTCCAGGACAGACAGACAGACGAAGTTGTGGAATCTCTTGTTATGAGCATAAAAAAGTGAATTCACATAAGAGATTGCTGAAAGAATTAAGGACTGAAAATTGATTTTATTTCTGTATTTATTAATTATTTCTTCCTTTTCGATCATATAACAGAAAAAGTTCAGTGTGACTAGCTGCTGCAATGATGTGACTGATTATTTACTTGTTTATCATCTTTTAAAAGTTGAGAGCATGTTACAATTCAAATAGTAGTAATATTATTTAGACACTCATTAACACAAATGTTGAAGTCTTGATAAAGGCATACACATGTATAAGTCTGTTGATTACTTGTTACAAATAAGGTAACTAATAATTTAGTTAGACTAGTAAAGAAACACATATTTTACAAAACAAGCCCATTTTCAATTAATATGCTTGCCTTCAAGAACATATTTTCTAAACCCTTTTACTTTATACCTTTATTCTCTCAATTATGAAATTAGCCCCACTTCAATAAATAAAGTCATCCTCCTTTACTTTATTCATAATAGAATCATTATAATAAATATTAGTCATTGTTCTCTGGATACAGAAGTAAATAGTCTCTTACTCCTCCTTTTCTTTTAATATATTCATAAAAGCCTTATCACATTTTCAGTATGATAAAATAATCCCCGCCCCATAACAGCATAACTCCTCCTACTCTCCTACTGTTTATTCAGATATGTCTCATTACACATCTGACGAATATTTAAATTAAGTCCAACCTCTGTTAACATATTTTTAATATATCAATGAAGTCTCATCACATGTTCTCTGTATAATGTAATAAGCCCCGCCTCCATAAATATTGTCTCTAACTCCTCTCTGCATGATAACTCTTCTCTGTTAAAATCTTTAAATCTGAAGTTAAAAAACTATCAAAAATAATAATTAATGAATCAAAATTTCTATTTTTCTACACAACAGAAATGAAGCCCCATTACATGCACTTCCCTCTCCATTCCCAAGGGTGGTACAGTAAGGGTTCTTAAAGCTAGAGCTAACTTTTTACATTCCGTTGTAATTTAATGGTTATGTTTTAGCACCAAAACAAAATAGGATATGTCTATCTTGCAGTATAAGTGGACATTGAGAGAGATTTTAACATCTTTACAAGTGGTTTGAAAATTCAAAGGTCAAAGTTCTTGCTATTACAAGGGGTTCGGGGACAGGGCTAACAATGGACTGGTCCCTTACGTGTGAGTTATTGTATAGGGGTCAGTACATATATTTTAAAGGCGTAACACATAATATTCTTTAGCTGTAGATTGGCATGATTTTTCATTTGCATTGTGTACAAGACCCATATCTTTAGGTCAAAGGTCAAGGTCACAGCATGTGACTTAACTTGGTGTAATTGTATAGTTTGTGTCTTTGTCTGGTTGATAATTTCATAAATAATGGGCTTTCAAAATATATATGTATACATAATCACCATAAGTAGATGATGTGAGGTTGCAGGATAGAATTGATTGAGTCTGTTCATGGATGGTGCTTGAATATGCAAGTTTACCATCTACGACCCCTTAGCACCGGCTTAAGCAGAATTGAACACTTTTACTTATAAATACATGTCTATACCAAATAATAATTAATAAACTATACCCCCTAACCCTCTAAGAAGAAACAACAATAACAATGAATGGTCAAGTGAACCTGTCAAGATGCTGTCAATAAGTAGATGCAGTAATAATCTATACACACAATCAGATGCATGAATATGACCTACAGGAAATTATATCATGTCAACTTAAATGTCATGTCCTTCTATAACAATACAACTGTAGTGATAATATCCTGATAACATCTTTACACTTATAAATTAAGCTACTTAATTTGATGTCACAACTTCCAAAATACAAAATGCATCACTTTAATCATAAATCGGCACTTCAAGTTCTCTAATCATTGGTGTTTCATTCAAATATCAGTTAACAGTAGTATTTCATTTAAATATTGGACCTAACATGAAATAAAGATATTATGTAAGTAAATTTTACATGTATATATTCTATAATTATATAAACCAAATATTTGTCAGTCAGCATTTGTCTCAACTACCGGTAATAATAAAAATAAAAGCATTTAACCAAATGGAACACTTATAAATATAAGTTTAAGGAAAACATTAAGCACAGCATAGAGTCACTTTTCTATGTAAATTGTAATGACAAAGTTTTGAAGTTTAAACTTTCATAACATTTTAGTACATGTAAAGTAACTAAACATGGCGTTCACACAAAATGGGCTAAGAAAGGCTCAAAAATACGATTTTCAACCTACTTCTGAGTAAATTTCTTAAATATCTTTTGCATATCTTTCTGTTCTAAGTGTCCCAGCTGAACTATGTAAGAAATTCAAATTTTATGATTTTCGGCTTTTGAACCTCGGTGGAGTTCCTTTAAAGATTATAGAAAGTAGAAATGACCAAAAAAAAAATGATTTTAAGAAGCAAGATTCTTCAAAAGAGCCCAAATGCATTATAGATGAATAAACAGGTAGTGAAAATATCTGTAAAAATGTTCTATATATAATTTTAATCTGAACCTTTATCTGCTAAAACCCTACATGTTTAGCCTTTGCCACCAGTACAAAAGTCAGGCAAAGACTGAAAATCTATGCAGAAACTAAATTTTTGTATTTTTTTTTGGTTTTTTTGTTTGTTTTTTTTGTTTTTGTTGCTGAAATCCCTTAAACTTTGAATAGCCCATTCTTTTTTCAGTGCCTAGCAAATCCATTACACAAATTCAGCAGGTTCAGGGTTATGATATGTGAGGAAAAATAAAACACCACCTGGTTATGTCTGATATATTATGCTGATGTTCACACAGGACAGTCATCATTCTTTCTTTACAACTGTGTCCCTTTGAATCTACATCAACACTCACCGTCTTTAATCTCACTATAAAATCCTAAAACAAAACAAGGAGATTTCATCTATAAAAACATCAATACATGTACGAGTATGTCTTTGATAATAATTATACATATACTTGCCATTCACAAAAATTGTATGACTCCTTTAATATCATGTTCTTATATAAATGTTTTCTATTAATATCTGTCAAGTTATTTCTCTTTTGATTAAAGTTGCATGCTTCCAGATGAGCCAAAATATTTCAAGAAAGTAAAATTTGAGAAAAATGTGATGAGATTTTCAGAAAAGAATTCAAGATTCAAGTAAATATGTTCATATTTTGTACATTAACCACTGATTCCGCAGTATTTATTACTACATGTATATGTCTACATTGACAAATCCAGTAAGAGCTATTGTTGCATATTTGGTAATTTAAATGGCATGTTACTACTTGTATTAGTTGTAAGGGTAGTTTACAATGTGTAAATTACTTTCATTGCAATATATTACTTTTTAATAATTTTTCAAAATTTTTCAGGAAAATAAGCATGAAGCTGGAGGCATGCTCTGCTTTAAAAACTTTAAGGAAAGCAAAATAAAAATTCAGACACTGTTGACAGGATAAGCTAAAATAAGCAGATCTACACTTTATAGGCTTTATTGATTTCTTACAATTTAGGATTTAGCCTAGCATAATATAGAGGCATGATTCTGAATGAAAAAATATTTTTACCTTAATATTTGTTATATCCCCTTGTAAAATTACTATTATTAGCTTGTTACAGAATAAGATTTTCCCACACAATGTTAATTCCGCTGCCCACTTTTCTAAAGTCTTACAATACTTATTTTTAGATCTCATGTGATCAATATGTAAGACGTCTGTCCATATATTTTCACTGCCACTGTTAGCATTGTTCATATTTTTGTGATCATTACATAAAGATTTTCCTGTCAATGGCATTTCGGTTTCAACCTCAAGTTGCAAATTTTCTTTGATCAACATAATCAATGAAATAAGCATAGGTTCACCGAGTAATTCAGAACAGTTTTGAAGAACTTTACTTTTAACTCTAGATATAATTTCCCTGTCAAGATTTTCTGAGAAGACTGAAATCTGTGGTAACTGGTTTGGGTACTCCTTTCCAATGATAAAAATTATCTTCACAGGATGCAAGGTGTCTTCACATTTTAATGTCTCAAAGTCTGTATTGATGATAACCTCATTTTCTGAAGAAATAATAAAAAAAACGTTAAATTTTTTGTCAACATGATTTCTTTTATTTCTAAAGATAAAGAGAACCTGAGACACATAGATACTAATCACTTTACATGTACAAATGTAACTACATGTATTAGATAGGTATAAAAGCTTCTTGTATTGTTCTTAAACTAAAGCTTGCCAACTTGAAGTTGAAATAAAAATTCTCTTATCTGATCTCTTCTGAAGATATAGTGTCAGTATTTTTTTTTTTTACTTATATAACTGATACCAGGGGCATAGCCAGCTTTTTTTAACTTGTAGGTACATAAAAGGGGGTCTGGGGGCTTAGCCCCCAGAATCCAAAAACAACTTCAGATAAAAACGAACAAAATGCGCGTTCCAAAGTATATTCAAGGAAAATTATCAAAACAATAATTTTAAACTATTAATTTAATAAGATGCAAACTTTACTAAGGATGGTAAATCATGCACATGACTATATGGCTTGAACCCATTACCAACCCCACCCTTGCCAGTTTTTATTGTATTTTTGGGACTTTTGAAAATGTCAATTTCTTGACCAACTTGTAGGCCCGTGCCTACATGGCCTAATAGTAGCTACGCCACTGAATACTGGAAAATGGCACCATTCCCAATAGAAAATAGACAGCAAATTTCAATAAATTGCCAAATAACAATGAAAATTTTCTTCAAAAATCAGCAAATTTAAAAGTTAAAAAGATAGTAATGCTGTTGATAAATGATTTACCATAAAAACCAATGGATTGGGTGGTCTTTAAAAGGGATTCTTCTGTACATTGAATGTAATCAATTATCAACCAATTACTCTCTTAAAGTAATTGTAATTTAATTGATATAAGCTGTTTTGAAAAAACAATCATATTTCAATGTCTATAATAATACACTATAGATGTTGAAATATGAAATTTTTTCAAAACGGCTTATATTAAGTATTTTTGATATATATGATCAGAAAATGTGCTGGGATTGACAAATATACCTTTTATTTGGATTTTAAAGGCGTTTTAAGCTCCACACCCCAAGTGTCTGTGCATAATGTATATGTATATGATTTAACTCTGACACATTTTCAACTGTAAGATCCCCAAACTATGATACAATTATTATCTACATAGGATTCGTAATAGGGGTAGACACTTCAATGGATTATTAAAAACACAGACAGCACTTCCTATCCGACTACTATTTCACTTTTAACGAAGAATAAAATAAAATTCTATCAAAAAAACACAGTGTCACCTTGAAATTCACATTCCCCTGGCAGACAAAATAATGATTCAACAGCTTCGCGTTCATCTTCAGTCATTTGATTACTTTATTCTCAAGATTAATTGTATTTATAATTAATAAATTTTCTTATGTTTTTACCGGAAGTTGACAGCTCTCGGCGACAACAACAACAATCGAACAAACATGGCAAAATCCTGTGTGCTGTCAAAAGAAATATTGGACGGTTTTGATAAATACAAAGTAAGTATGGTAGAAAACGTGATTTTCATTTGTGATTTTATGACGTTTCTACAAGTTCACACGTCATGCATTTTAATCTCTATTAACAACAGTTTTATTTTATCGATTTCATTGACAATCAACTCGCCCCCTAGTTTACTCGTCCCATATTGGACAGTTTCAGCTTGGCAATATTTTATTTCATGTTTAACACAATTGTCTTTATTTGTACCATTTGATCTCTGTTCTTGTTACTAACTACTAACTTTGATTTGTTTGCAGCCGAAAAATAATGAAAAGAAATTTATATGAAGCCAGTAAAACAGGCTGGTGAAAATGCCTGATCCGGCTTAGACATTAAATATCGGGTGAGAGTGGTTTCATCGAACTACCGGTCAGCAAACTAATCTTATATAATAAAACAGGTTGTGGTTTCGGCGAACTTAATTTATGTAGTGCAAAAAATATCTATTGGATACTGGCCACGTCAATTATCGTATGTCATATCACACATTTTTATGCAATTAAAGACAAGATCAGGCCTCGATATTAGCGGTGGTCCGTTGGTCCGAGACCACCTGATTTTGGCACGGACCACCTAATTTTACAAGCCACTGGTCCGTCTGACCACTTAAATTTTCTTGATGGTGCAAGGCTCATTTGGAAGAATGGTAAAACAACATACATGTCTTGGTGTTTTAAATCATTTATCCGATGTATATGTATATGGTTCATTAATCTCATTAGTTAAAAAGTTCTTAAGTCATCAATAACTTTCGTTTTAACTCGCTAAAATTTTGTTTATGCAAATTAAAAGAGTAAAGAATTTGTTATATTAATTAAGGTAAAAAATTCATTCAAATGATGCTAGTAGCGCATTTTCTTCAATAATGATATTTTACGGGATTATCATAAAGAATGGCAGCAAACGAAAGGAATTGAAAAAAAACAAAACATATGTGTAGTATTTCTTGGCTACTTTTCTTTGTTTCAGCAATAAGAGATCCATTTCTTCCACATTATTATTATTTATTTATTTATTGAAAGGTTAAAATACTTCATGTTCATTTCAAATATAATTATCAACAAACAAGCAACAGGGAGGTATTGTATTAAAAAAATTGTGAGAAAAATAAGTTCAGCTATAGTTATTCTTAATGTTGACATTATCTTATTATCCTTTAGATATTTCCTTGTTTTATAATAAAAAAATAATTGTTTTTAATGTTATTCTATAGAAGATACTTATGATTATAAGACCAATGAATATCTGAATGACAGATTCCCAGATAACAGTAAGAAAATAACGCAGACACAAATGGTTTCACTATTCCCTAACTTGAGTTAAGGGAGTTGTCACTTCAACATAAAATTTTACATAAATACAACCCCTTTTATATATTTTTAAATGGGATAAAAAAAAACTTAACAATATAATACCTACTGACTTGCTCTCCTAAATTTCTGATTAGATGAAATATATATCTAAAAATATCTGTTTTCCCAAGTTGTTAATAATACATCTCTGTCACATATTTTAAGCATATTTTCAGCACTTTTTTAAAATAAAAAATAAGAGTAAAAAAAATAATAAAATAATAATAATTGACCACCTGACTTCCAGAAGGACCACCTAAATTTCAAATCTAGTGGTCCGGCTTACCACCTGCTAAAAAAGTTAGTGTCGACGCCTGAAGATATTGAAAATTTAAACCTTTTATTTATTATTTTCTTTAATTTTATAGTTATTTTTACTAAAAAGCATAACTCAATACAAAAGATCTCAGTAAACAAACAACAATCATCATAAAAATATATTAAAGTAAAGCCTGAAAAAAATGATTTAAAATTAACACAAATATATATACACATTAAGTGAAGCCTGTATAATATGAAAACATTTTTTTTATAATCTATGTTAAACTGTACTCACAAATGGTAAAAGCTGAAAAAGAAGGACCAATGTTATTAATTGGAATAAAATCGACATTACCGTATACACAGAAAAATAAAACCTGGAAGAGAAAAAATTAATTATAAATGTATTTTATAATCTAAATATATACACAAAAACAGGAAATACAAAAAACATATAAAAATATTAATCTAAAATAAGAACAAATTGTGCCATGATTTTGTACAGAATAAACAACACATCTTTTTAAAATACTTTATTCATCTCTATATAAACAATTGAAGAAAATCTACCATGATTTTTACGTAATAAACAACAACAATCTGTTTTTAATCTTTATTCATCACTCTATATAAAACTTAAAAATCGTCCTCATAAATCCTGTCGTTGAAGTTGTTGGATCCTATTCCTGAAATATGGCTACATAATCTCAGTAGTTGGAAGGGCTGATCGCTAATGTTGTAAGAACTTGGGCCCAACCCTTTTGCTATTTGTAATTCCAAATCAATTTGTTTCTCTGTATATTTACATGTATATGTTAGCAATAAAATATGATTAAACAAACAAGAAGTTGGGAATTAGTCACCTCAGCACTTGTCCAAGGCGTCGAATAAGGCTCCAATATAATTTTTTTTTTATTATAATATTTAATTTTTTTCTCTCAAAACTAATTAATCAAATAACGAACAAATCATTATCAAAATAGGTATAATATATAGACATACATCTACAATGTATTATATTCATTACTGAAATTTTGCGTCATAATTTGATTACAACAAACATATTGATTATAAAACCACTTTATATACACAAACCATGCCTAACTTTGCCTTTAATTACTATATAAAATAAGATCAACGAAACCACTTTCACACCTGTTCATAAATTAAGTTCGCCGAACCAGTAGTTCGACAAAACCACCATAATTCTAAAATATCATATTTCTAGAAAAATAATTAATATGTTTCTTTCTCACTTGTTTTGTTTATTAAGCATTGATATATGATGCAAATCAAAATAAAAATATTTTGGTTATCTTTTATTTTCTTAGAATTATTTCTCTTTTTCCCATTGTCTCGAAACAAAATATTTGAAGTTCATAAAAATTACATTGTAGTGTAAAATTCTAAATAGAAATGTGTCCAACAACTTCATTTTGCTCTATACTAGATTATTGTGCCAATACCTTTATTTTATATATTTGGATTAAATATTCTGTTTCTGGCATATTATAGAATGTACAATGGTTTAGATTAAATTTCCTTATGTTAATAGAGCAATATATTTATAATTGTCTATTATAACTTTTACTTTCCTTGATTAATTTATGTTATCATCATTGTCATGTTTTAGAATAGCCAAGCATGTTGTCTCCACTGGCAGCTTTGATTAAGTGCATTGCAATACCACAAAGTTGCGTTTTACAATACTGAACATATGAGCTTTTGCTTATTTATTTTATATAATTATCTTATATTTTGTTTTTATTTCAGTATAATGCAGTGGATACCAATCCATTGTCTAACTATGTCATGCATCCATTCTGGAACAGAGTTGTTAAGGTGGGTACCATGTTTTACATCAGGTGCTATACAATATCCCCAGCAATAGATTTTATCTGGAAATGACAAATTGTCATCTTAGTGGTGTAACGGGTTTACTCCTTATATAATTTAATAAACATTAATTCATTACTGTTCTAAGGTGACAAAATGTTGGTTTGTCCTGTCTAATCCCCGTTTATTTATCTTTTCCCGCTACAGCTTTCCTGTAGACTACATTTTTAAAAGAGTGATTTTTACCCCTGGATTAGATGGAAAAACTCCTCATTTTCGTGGTTTCAAAGTATCTCTATCACTTTAAAAATAAATATAATATTAATTGATGTGAATTGAAAAACAAGGTTATTTCCATTCACACAAATCACAGGAACAAGGCCAGAAAAAAAAGTTTGTGCTTCCAGAACCCTTTTTATTTAATGGCCGATTACAAATATTTGATTTGGTTTTCCAGATTTTTGAAAATGGACATTTTCTTTACATAGAATTATAAATATAAAAGAATATATATTAAAAGATACACAGGAATTTTAACTACCAGTACCCTCTTTTCTAAGGTTGAAAACCAGGAACAAAAATACTTTTTTATCAAGCATTTAAAAAAAAAAATTACAAAAACACTTAAACACTTATAACACATCATATATAAAACAGGCTTTTAATTTCAAGCAGAGATAATAAGGTTAAATGATAGAATGACTGTTTTCTTCTGACATTTGAATGATGTAAACAAGTGCTTGCCTTTATTTCCTGATATTTAACACTTGTTATTTGAGAAATTGAATAAATGATGACCGTGTTGTCACCTCATTACTTGAATAATTTAGACACAACACTGACTTTAGGTATGTTAACAAATTCAATAACGTGTAAAATATACATGTAATACTTGTGTGTGGTGGTGGTGATGTTGGTAGTTTTCACTCCAGATCACATCAGTAAACCACATTGAATTAACCAGAGCACAGTTCAGCCACCTCATTGTTCCTCGGCAGGCCGTCAAGTAGTTTATCATTCTGTACTTGTTGCCTTCACTTTTGAACTGGTAACTTCTGTACATGCCAGAGCAGAGGTACAGTGCAAATGACCAATCAACAAGAAAGTGACCAGAGTGCAGTGTCTGGGAATCAAACCTGGGTCACACGATTCACAGTAAAACATTCTTCCTATTAAGCTGACTGGACAGCTTTTACTTGTGTGTTTGAAAATTATACAGTATTCCCCCCAAGAGTTAAACATGTATGAATATCAAAATTTTAATGTACAATGTAAAATTTCTAGCCTCTGTCTAGGACAAGTTGTTGTTTCCTTGAGCAATAAAGTTTAGAACTGGTTGGTTCAAGAGTGAATTAGATTGGAGAGTGTGTCTATAAAGCTTATAGTTTCCTTTACACTTGAGCTAAAATAAATTCTAATAAAAAGAATAATAGTAGTGAAACACACGAAAATAATTAAAACAAATTCTACATAAACAACTTCTCACAGAATGCAATCTTTTTTTGTGTCGTTGATAAAATGCTCTCTCCCAGAAACCAAATAAAAAGTGATGGGCATTCAGTCCATAATTTTTAATAGAATTTAAGTGTAAATTAATGTTCTTTAAATTTTCAATAGCCAGGGGTTTGTGATTTATTTTAAATACTGAACTGAGCATCTTAATATAAATAAGCATTAGATTTCTAAATACACTGAAATAAATCAATTGTTTTGAAATCAACAACACCAGTTTCCTAATATGGCAAGATATATACATGTAATTTATATTTAATCCCGAGGAGATAAGGTATCTGGTATATGCATGTAGTATCATGTAGTGGATTTATTTTGCAGAAATGAATGGTTAAAATGTCGTTTTACAGTGAAACTTAGTTATTTAAGAGTCTTAAACAATGCAGTTAGTAGGTTTCTAATGGAATCTCAGTCTATATAGTTATATAGCATCCTAGTGTAGTCACGGTGGAATAAAGAAATCACTGTAACATATCTTGCGAGCCTATACAATTCAGTATGTACCATGTTTTATGAAAACCACAAGCTACTTCTGATCACTGTACCTGTTTGGGAGCCTATATATTTTAACTTGTGCCATTCTTGTGAAAACAGGAAGTAATGTTGATTATACACTTTGAAAGTGCTTGTTTTAAAAGTTACTAACCATCACCAGATGCACATTTACTTTGTTTTATCTCTCTCTTCTAAATATAGAAGTCATTAAAATCATGATAAGTCAAAGGTTGCCAATTGCATGTTAACAATAGGTAAATATATAGGCTATCTAATTCATGATGAAACTTATTAATCAGGTAACCGACATAATTATGTAAACAACTTAGCTTGGTACTTCTTATTAAGGATGTTGACCTGGCTTGACCCGACACTTTGACATTTCTAATCTAGGTTATCATTGCAGTAGGTTACCGTTAGTACAAAGTTTGTATGTATTACATCAGGATTTTAACTCCTTTATTTTAAATGATGCTCACTGCACTAAATATCTTAAATGGACTTGTCCATCTTTCTGTCCATTCATGCATTTTAGGTGATAAGTTCAAACCATGATTAGATTTTATAGATGTGCTGGTTGATCTTATGTGTCAGGTCAAAATTTAATCAGCCCTGTTTTGTGTTTGTTCTATGAAAATAGAATTCTAGAATATGAGTCCTAGGTCATGTTTTTGTTTTACATGTCATTGTCATAAGTTTGAATTCTTGGTAAGTGGTAACCTTGTGGTTAAGGTGTCCGCCTCTCAACTCAGGGATCACAGGTTCGAGCCCTGCCCTGATCACAACCCAACCATGTTTCTTCATATGACACCAGTACTGGTTAGTTCCAAGAAGCGGACTTAAAAGTGATTAATATTAGTTGCAAGAACTTATAACAACCAAGCTAAAATAGATATGTTTGAACTAATTCTTGTACCATTTGTCCACCATCATTGATTCAAATGATTATGCAATTTGCACATTAACCTTGACTTCTTTAATGTTCATTCTGCACTGAAAATCAGACACCTGATTTGAGGTTACTTTTTAAAGGTGCATATTAAGTAATTGTTGACAATTATCTATAGAAAATGAAGCTTTTATTTCTTTTTCTTTTTTTCGCAGTTTGTTCCATTATGGATTGCACCAAATGTATTGACATTGGCAGGATTTCTACTGATGGTGCTGAATTTTGTCACAATGATTTACTATGACCTTGACTTTTATGCCTCTAGTCGGGACCATCCGGAACATCCTCCCATACCCAACTGGGTGTGGCTTATGTGTGCTATAAATAACTTCCTATCACATACTTTAGGTAAGTTATAAAGTGTAAATTTTTTATATTAATAATTTTGTATAATAATCGATGATTTACTGTTAAGAAGAATAACTCAACTGCTTATCTTGAAACTTAAAGCTGCATGCCTCCAGATGAGGCAAAATATTTCAAGAAAATTAAAACTGAGAAAAATGTACTTAGATTTTAATAAAAGTAAAAAGATATAAAATTTTCATGTTATGTACAATTCATGACTGGGGGCGTCCGTGGCCGAGTGGTTAAGGTTGTTTACTTCAAACCACTTGCCCCTCACCGCTGTGGGTTCGAATCCCGAAAGGGACTTTGGATTCTTTCATGTGAGGAAGCTATCCAGCTAGCTTACGGAACGTCGGTGGTTCTACTCAGGTGTCAGTTCGTGCCTGAAATAATGCACGGAAGGGCACCTGAGGTCTTCCTCCACCAGTAAAGTTGGAACGTCGCGATATGACCTATACTGTGTCGATGTGACGTAAACCCCCCCCCAAAAAAAAAAAAAAAATCATGACTGATTTTGCTGTCTTTATCACCATATTGATAATTTGCATGGATTGCAAGTGCTGTTTGCAATGTTTAAATTATTTTCTTTGTTCACTTCACAATATTTTACTTTGAAAAACATTTTTAAAATTTTAATGAAAAGTACCATGAATCTGGAGGTGGGGTGCTTTAACTTCTCACTAATACTGAAAAACATGTTATACACATGATAATTGGAATGATTTCATGAAGGATTAGAATACTACTTAACGTGTATTACCGTACAATTTTGAGCTGTCCCCCGAGTCTTCTCTTGATTCAGGTTAGACTGTAAAACTGTACACCAAATGTTTACTGTGGATGCATTCTGGTTCTACAATTTATTTTTTTTCATCAGTAAAATTTATCACACATTGCTATGAAGGTAAAGAAATTTTCAAACTTTTCTGATATACAGATGGTATAGATGGAAAGCAAGCAAGGCGTACAGGTACAAGCTCCCCGCTCGGTGAATTATTTGACCATGGGCTTGACAGCTGGGCATCTTTCTTTATTCCGGTGGCCATGTATTCGGTGTTCGGTAGAGGTGAACACGGTGTAGAGGTGTTCAGAGTGTACCTGGTTCTACTAGGAGTGAATTTCTGCTTTATAATATCACACTGGGAAAAATACAACACCGGCATATTATTCCTGCCGTGGGGTTATGATCTAAGTCAAGTGGTAGGTTTTGCTCTTTGTTTATTTGAGCCACGTCCCGACAAAACCAACATAGTGTGGATCCAGACCAGCCTGCGCATCCGCGCAGTCTGATCAGGATCCATGCTGTTCGCTTACCAACCCTATTACAAGTAGAGAAACTGATAGCAAACGGCATGGATCCTGATCAGACTTCGCGGATGGGCAGGCTGGTCTGGATCCATGCTGGTCGCAAACGCACTATGTTGGTTTTGTCATGACCCGGCTCATTTGATGTTTAACTCTTGAGCACAGCAGTGTAAACTGTTCATACCTTTATGAGGATGGGAATATTACAGTGCAATATTAAGCCAATAACCTGGCTTGGAAAAGGTGAATGGTTCTACTCAAGTATCTACATATGCATGAAATAATGCTCAGAGGGACGGACATATGAGTTTCATATTCTTTTTAAAAATCCAAGCTTCATCCACTAGTAAAAAAACATTTATTAATTCACTCTAGTTTTCATTTATGTTGTAAAATGCGTGTAGCCACGAAATAATAAATTGCAAAGAAAGGTAACAAGGTAAGCTTTCTTCTAATGCTTAAGTGCCTGCTTTGAACCTACAGATTTTGGGTTTGAGCTCTAGCTTGGTCTCGTCCACTTGTCTTCATGGTATCCAGAACAGATTGGTTTACCAATTGGACTTGAAAATGGCATTTTCTTTAAATGAGAAAATGTATAGATAGGTTTAACCATATATTGAAGCACTGAAGAAAATATTAAAATATTACAGTTATATAGAAATCATTGAAGTTAAATCTATTCATTAAGTAATTTCTGTAATTATTTCCTCTCTTTTTTCAGGCAATGACTAGTTTATATCTATTTACATTTGTCACCGGATACGAATTCTGGAAGTTCACATTATTTGGTTTTTCTGGTGCTGAATATTTCGAAATTATAATGTACGGTAAGTATAAGCTATGAATACATTCCTCTCTCTGATTTAGTTTATACAAATTTATTTTAATTCAATTGTGTTAGAAGCTATAAACTTATTGAAACACTCTTGAATCTGTTCCTGGAACCAACTAGTGCTAAGCAATGAATGTAAAAAAAAATTCTTAAGGAAACAACGGCTTCCCCTGGATGGGGTTTGAACCCACGTGGTCAGCAGTCCGTTGATTACTAGTCTGACACCTTACTCACTGGGTAATGCAGCCACTTCAATCAGATTTACGTGCAACACAAATTTATTTCTTATATTGCCTTAGGTTTGAATTTTGTGAATGGAGCCTCATGGTTGAGTGGTTAAAATCATGAATTTTGAATCACTTGCCACCCACCTTACTCTGGTTCAAATCATAACAGGGGCGTCCATGGCCGAGTGGTTAAGGTCATTGACTTCAAACCACTTGCCCCTGCTGTGGGTTTGAATCCCGACAGGGACTTTGGATTCTTTCATGTGAGGAAGCTATCCAGCTAGCTTATGGAATGTCGGTGGTTCTACTCAGGTACCCATTCGTGCCTGAAATAATGCACGGAAGGGCACCTGAGGTCTTCCTCCACCAGTAAAGCTGGAACGTCGCAATATGACCTTAACTGTGTCAATGTGACGTAATTCCCAAAACAAACAAAAACAAACAAATCAATCATGACTTTAAATTCTTTCATATAAGGAAGCTGTCAAGCTAGCTTACAGTTGGTGGTACCACTAAATGTGACAAATATCGCATGTAGGGGCACCTCACCTGAGGTATTCCTTCATAGGTAAAAGCTTTGAAAGTCACCATATGGCCATTGCTGCATTGTCAATGTGATTTGAAACTAGGTAAATAAAACACAAAGAATTCTGCTTGGAACTTTGAATAGTATTGTTTGACTAAACTTTCCAGTAACTCTTGTCTTCTTCGATGCATCTACCATACTGTTAACATGTGCTTGAAATATTAAATTGAGATGCATTCATTTGTTCTTGACAATGTCTGTGTTACTTAGAACCCAATCAAAGGGGAGGTAATTCACAACACATTATATGCATATACATGTATGTTAGATTTATTTTATCACATCATTTATCTTTCTGTTTCAGTTGGTTTTGGATTTTCCTTTCCAATAACAATCTGGAATGTTTACATGTAAGTTAATGTTTTAAGTTTATTTTGATTGATACAAATCAACTTTGTGACACAATTGCTGAATAAGATACATACAAAATGGAGTATTTTGTATAACTTACAGTTTAAAAATACCGGTACTATATATTCAAGAATGTTTTTTATTGATTATTCTGTTACTAAAATCTCTAACAAACAAACTGTGACTAAAGTTTCATTGAAATATGCACCAGAACTGTATCATATGCTGTTATTTGAAAAAAATTGAAAATGTTTCCAACAAAGGGCTGGCCAAGTCAAAAAGATGGCTTCCACTTTTTTTGGGGGAGGGGGGGGGGGGGGTCAGTACAATGCTTCCTTACTGCACACCCTCAAGAGAGCAAATCTGAGGGCAGTTTATTTGAACTTAAATTTCTCTTTAAAATCAAATCTTCATATAGTTTATATTTAACCTTAACTACCTCAAAATATCTGAAATGGACTTGTCCTTTGTTCAATGAGGACAAAACCATTAATCATTTTTAGGAGAAAATTTCAAAACCAGTACAGACTGAGTAGCGATCATTGCCGACTATGATCACTCATCAACCAGCATGGATGTGTTGATGATATTGGTCTGCACTGGTTGTCAATCTGACTAAAATTCAGATCTACTTATATATAGTACTCCCTGCAGGTACCGCGTCCTTGCCCTTTCCAGTGTAATCAGAAAATGTGTTTCTTTACACACTGAACACCACCAATCATCTGTTTTCACCATTAAAGTGAAAGTGGTAGTGCTCCTTTTTTGAATTCTGATAAAAATTGTTGGAAATATTTTCATTTTAAATAAATTTCTGTCATTGATATGTAAATCAAAAGCTGTCCGAATGTCTTGAAAATACTTCTTTATTGTACCCCATATTTACCAGTTAAGATGATAATTTCATGTTCTGACAAGTGAAGGTCGTCTGCTGAAACTGTAGTGATGTAATATTCTGTTGAAAAAAATTCTTATGAAGCCAAAAAGGGCCATCAATTTACATACCACAGTATCATAGTGCTCTCCGTTTAAGCCCCCGTTCAAAACATGGCTGCCTGATCATAGACTCAATGTTTCTAATTTTAATCATTGAGTTATTCTATGAATGACGTGTATTTTGAAGTCAAGATAAAATAGTAAATATTAGATGTTTTTATTTGTACATTTTGCTGGAAAGAATAAGAACAATGGTACCATAGGGGACCATCCTATTCCATGTAGATCTAATGACCACTGTATATGTTTCACCTTCTTTAAAATTTTGATATTGAGAGAAAACTACTTTTAGCTATGCAATCAAACTGTTTTTTTTACAGATATGCATTAGAAGAAGTATTCTAAATACGGTTGTCCGTGGAAGTTAAACAAATTGTTAATTTTTGTTAGAAAAAAATGTTTGAAGTTATTTTTCACAAATCAACTTGAAATAATAGACTCAATTTTTAATGGGCAAGAATGTTTTGCCAGTTTACCTGTCGGCTATATGGACAATGTCATGTTTGTTCTCGAAATCGTGAAAATTACCTACTCAGTATTGGTTTTTCTAAGGGTTAAAACTAGAAACCCCATCACTTTCAAAATAATGAAACCTTGCCAATGATTGGTTGTTTGAAAGACCACGAGTAGGTGACTACCTATGGGTGGATGTCAGATCCTAATATGAGCCGCGTCACGACAAAACCAACATAGTGCGTTTGCGACCAGCATGGATCCAGACCAGCCTGCGCATCCACGCAGTCTGATCAGGATCCATGCTGTTCGCTTACCAGCCCTATTACAAGTAGAGAAACTGATAGCGAACAGCATGGATCCTGGTCAGACTGCGTGACCCATTATGTTGGTTTTGTCATAGCGTTATTTAGGAGCTGGTTTTAATCAGATTGCACTGTTTGTTTTGTTAGATACAGTCACTTTTAATCTCAAGTTTAAAGCAGCATGCCTCCAGATTCATCCTTATTTTCATGCAACTTTTTAAAATGTATCTAAAAGTAAAATATTGTGAAATGAACAAAGAAAGTAATTGACAGATTGCAATCGGCACTTAAATCCACGTAAATTACCTAAAAGAGGTCAAAATATGCAAAAATAGCCCCTACTGCTTTAGTAACGCAGTAGAAATATGGTGATAAATACTGCAAAAACAGTCATTAATTGCACATAAAATGACGACTTGAATCTTTAATCTGTTTACTTTTCTTAAAATTATAGTACAGCTTTTCCAAGTTTAATTTTCTTGAAATATTTTGATCATCTGGAGCCATGCAGCTTTTAACTGAAATAATTTTTATATATATATATATTACAGAGGATATAGAGATAAGACCGGGAAGATGTTAAGTCTGTCAGAGTCACTCCGCCCACTAGTATCAACTTTCATACTATTTGCTTTGATGATAACGTGGGCAAAGTATTCGTCATACGAGATAATACAAAAACATCCTAGAATATTTTATTGCACTACTGGAACAGTATTCTCAAATATAGCTGTAAGTGTTTTGATTCAGCTTTTTAGCTCACCTGTCACAAAGTGACAGGGTGAGCTTTTGTGATCGCTTTTCGTCCAGCGTCCGGCCGGCCTTAAACTTTCACTTTAAATGACATCTCCTAATAAACCACTAAGCCAATTTCATCCAAACTTCACAGGAATGTTCCTATGGTGGTCACCTTTAAAAATTGTTCAAAGAATTTAATTCCATGCAGAACTCTGGTTGCCATGGCAACCGAAAGAAAAAACTTTAAATATCTTCTTTTAAAGTACCCAAAGAGCTAGAGCTTAGATATTTGGCATGAAACATTTTCTAGTGAGTGTCTATCAAGTTTGTTCAAATAAAAGCCCTGGGGTCAAAATTGGCCCCGCCCCAGGGGGTTATTGATTTTCCCAAAATGCATATAGTAAAAACTTAAAAAATCTTCTTTGAAAAAACCTAAATAGCTAGAGTTTCGATATTAAGCATGAAACATCTTCTAGTAAGTGTCTACAAAGTTTGCTCAGATAAAAGCCCTGGGGTCAAAATTGGCCCCGCCCCTGGGGTCAATGATTTTCCTTATATGTGTATAGCAAAAACTTAAAAATCTTTTTTGAAAAAACCCAAATAGCTAGAGTTTAAATATTAAGCATGAAACATCTTCTAGTTAGTGTCTACAAAGTTTGTTCAAATTAAAGCCCTGGGGTCAAAACTGGCCCCATCCCAGGGGTGTCATTGTTTTTAACTATATGTGTACAGTAAAAACTTAAGAAATCTTCTTTTAAAAAACCCAATGAGCTAGAGCTTAGATGTTTAGCATGAAACAGCTTCTTATGGGTGTCTACCACATTTGTTCAAATAAAAGCCCTTGGGTTAAATGGCCCTGCGGGAGGGCGGGGGGTGGGGAGATCATTATTAGCTCACCTGTCACAAAGTGACAGGGTGAGCTTTTGTGATCGCTTTTCGTCCGTCGTCCGTCCGTCGTCTGTAAACTTTTACTTTAAATTCTTCTTCTAAAAAACCCAAAGAGGTAGAGCTTAGATATTTGGCATGAAACATCTTCTAGCGAGTGTCTACCTAGTTTGTTCAAATAAAAGCCCTGGGGTCAAAATTGGCCCCGCCCCAGGGGGTCATTGATTTTCCCTATATGCATATAGTAAAAACTTAAAAAATCTTCTTTTAAAGAACCCAAAGAGCTAGAGCTAAGATATTTAGCATAAAACATCTTCTAATGAATGTCTACCAAGTTTGTTCAAATAAAAGCCCTGGGGTCAAAATTGGCCCCGCCCCAGGGGGTCATTGATTTTCCCTATATGCATATAGTAAAAACTTAAAAAACTTCTTTTAAAGAACCCAAATAGCTAGAGCTAAGATATTTAGCATGAAACATGTTCTAATGGATGCCTACCAAGTTTGTTCAAATAAAAGCCCTGGGGTCAAATTTGACCCCGCCCCGGGGGTCATTGATTTTCCTTATATGTGTATAGCAAAAACTTAAAAAAATCTTTTTTGAAAAAAAAACCAAATAGCTAAGGTTTAGATACTAAGCATGAAGCATCTTCTAGTGAGTGTTTACCAAGTTTGTTCAAATAAAAGCCCTGGGGTCAAAATTGGCCCCACCCTGGGGGTCATTCATTTTCCTTATATGTGTATAACAAAAACTTAAAAAATCTTCTTTGAAAAAACTCAAATAGCTAGAGTTTAGATATTAAGCATGAAGCATCTTCTAGTGAGTGTCTACAAAGTTTGTTCAAATCAAAGCACTGGGGTCAAAATTGGCCCCGCTCCGGGGGACATTGATTTTCCTAATATCATACAGTGTATAGCAAAAACTTAAAAATCTTCTTTGAAAAAACCCAAATAGCTAGAGTTTAGATATTAAGCATGAAACATTTGCTAGTAAGTGTCTACAAAGATTGTTCAAATAAAAGCCCTGGGGTCAAAACTGGCCCTGCCCCAGGTGTGTCATTGTTTTTAACTATATGTGTAAAGAAAAAACTTGAAAAAATCTTCTTTTAAAAAACCCAACGAACTAGACCTTAGATGTTTAGCATGAAACATCTTCTAATGGGTGTCTACCAAGTTTGTTCAAATAAAAGCCCTGGGGTTTAAACTGGCCCACTCCGGAGGCCTATATACAGGTGAGCGACTTCAGGGCCATCATGGCCCTCTTGTTTTTCATTATATGTGTGTAGTAAAAACTTAACATCATGAAACATCTTCTAATGGATGTCTTCCAAGTTTGTTCAAATAAAAGCCCTGGGGTTTAAACTGGCCCTGCTCCGGGGGCCTATATACACGTGAGCGACCTCAGGGCCATCATGGCCCTCTTGTTAAACATTATTGGGGGGCGTCCGTGGCCGAGTGGTTAAGGTCGTTGACTTCAAACCACTTGCCCCTCACCGCTATGGGTTCGAATCCCTACAGGGACTTTGGATTCTTTCATGTGAGGAAGCTATCCAGCTAGCTTACGGAAGGTCGGTAGTTCTACTAGGGTGCCGGTTCATGCCTGAAATAATGCATGGAAATGCACGTGAGGTCTTCCTCCACCAGTAAAGCTGGAACGTCACGATATGACCTATACTGTGTTGATGTGACGTAAACCTGCCCCCCCCCCCCCCCCCAAAAAAAAAAAAAAAAACAAATAAAAAACTATTATTGTTGTGCAGATTGTAATGTGAGGGCATCCATGTCCTGTGGATGCATTTCTACTTTTACTTCAAATATTTCTGTTTCCATATTCTAAGATTGTGCACAATTTACATAGGAAATGTCATTCAAGATATTTTTTTACTGCAAAATCATTATAATTTGTGGGTTTCTTGGATACATGTAGGTCAATCCAAGAATTTAAGAAGCAAGGAAATTTCATTTCATCTGCTGTAAGATAATTTTGCATCACACTATTTAACTTTTGGAAAAGTAGACAGTCCAAGAATTTTAGAACCCACATAAAAGTTAGTCATGACAAAACCACAAAATGTTATGCCCACAAGTGTATTCACAGTTATGTAGTGTATTTTAGTGTGAAATTTGATATATCATATAATTGACTGTATTTATCGGATGCTTGTTCTATTGTATAATGTACTACTGTATTTCAGTGTCGGCTAATTATTGCACAGATGAGCAACACACGGTGTGAGCTAGTCAACTGGTTGTTAGTTCCGTTATTTACTATCGTAATAACGGTGTGTTTCCTCAGCCTCGGTGTTTTAGAATTCTATATTCTCACAGGATATGGTGTCTTCGTCACAGTGTCACATGTTTACTTCGGAATCTGTGTTGTGAGTATTGTTTACTTAAGTTAGTGGAAATATTAGAATTTAGTGAAATAAATCAGCTATCCTACTCAATCTGAGATGAGCTTCTGCTGTACAGTTAATAAAGAATTGTCTACTTCTATACCATAATTGTAGGTTATATTTTAAAGACCCATATTTCAAAAAAAGATTAAAACTAAGTTATGCCCATTTTTGAACATAAAATTTAACTGTTAAACACAGCCCCAAACATTGAGCTGACCTCAACCTTCGGCTTTGGTCTCTTAAAATATTTGCTAACTAACTTGTAGTTCACTATGTAGCTAGGAGGCATTCAGTACTGTGTAATATTGCTTTACTATCAGTGTGCTCTATAGCCATATAATCAAGTGTCTGCCTTTGCTGATGGCAGTCATGCCATATTTGCATATAACTAAAGATTACTGCAAAATCATTAATATTCATGAGGAATTAATTTTTATGGTTTTTAGCTCGACTATACGAAGTATATGGAGAGCTGTCCTACTCGCCCCGGCGTCGGCGTCCGCGTCCGCGTCCGCGTCCAGATTTTAGATTAAAGTTTTGGTGCAGTAAAATATTTTTCACTATAACTTTGTCATTTCTTAAGGTATCAACTTCAAACTTCAAATATATCTTCCTTATCATCAACCACATCATATGTGACAAGGTTCATAACTCTAGCACCAATATTTTCAGATTTATCTCCCCTTGAACTTAGAATTTTCCTTAAAAAATACTATTTTTTACTGTTACTTCCTTATTTCTTAAGGGATCAACCTCATACTTCAAATATATGTACCTTATCATCATCCCCATCTTATGTGACAAGGTTCATAACTCTAGCACCAATAGTTTCAGATTTATCTCCCCTTGAACTTAGAATTTTCCTCAAAAAGTACTATTTCTTACTGTTTCTTCTTTATTTCTTAAGGGATCAACCTCATACTTCAAATGTATTTACGTTATCATCATCCCCATCTTATGTGACAAGGTTCATAACTCTAGCACCAATATTTTCAGATTTATCTCCCTTTGAACTTAGAATTTTCCATAAAAAATATTTTTTTTACTGTTATTTATTTATTTCTAAAGGGATCAACTTCATACTTCAAATATGTTTACGTTATCATCATCCACATCTTATGTGACAAGGTTCATAACTCTAGCACCAATATTACAAGAATTATCTCCCCATAAACTTAGATTTTTTTACTAGAAAAATGTTATTTTTTATTATAACTTTTTTATTTTTAAAGGTATCTACCTCAAATTTCAAATACTTATTCCTTATCAACAATTACATTTTATGTGACATTGTTCATAACTCTTGATGCAATATTTACAGATTTATCTCCCTTTGAACTTAGGATTTTCTTTAAGAAATATAATAGCTTCTTTTCTTTTTAAGGTATCTACTTCAAACTTCAAATACATGTATATGTTTCTTATCATTACACAAATGTTGTGTGACAAGGTCCATAACTCTAGCATGACTATTTCTAGCATTATTCCCCTTGATCTTGGAATTTATGTTAACCAATATTATTTTTTTACTATAACTTAATACATAATTATACATAATTGATTTTTCTTTCATAGTTTTGTCCTCCTTACTGCGTCCAGTATTTCATTAGTCGAGCTTCGCTGTCTCCTGTGACAGCTCTTGTTGTCGTTAGGTGTCATCAATGCACAAATTTAAAATCCAACGAAATTTCATTTGCATCACATTATTTACATTTTACCATTTTGAAAAAATAAATATTCGACGAATTTAAGAACCCACTAAAATGTTCTTTGTGACAAAACAAAAAAATTCCATGCCCACGAAATTAACTGAATTCACAGTATTTGCTGTTCTTCTGATGTACTAATACTGTTCAATAATGTTTGAATCTCTCTTAAAATAAATGCATTGTGTTTTTAACTTTTTATATTGCAAAGAGAGAATTTAATTGCAGCGTAAAATATTGTAGAACTTCAATGCTGTGCTCTCTGAGAGTGCTAGAATTCACTGTTTTACCTTTTTACCTTTGCCAGATTTGTTTTACACTGGCTACTCTCCAAATTTTCGATTGCTATTTTGAAATTTAGAGAGAGCATATTTGATGTAAAAAAAAATGAAAACATGAATGTAATCTTCATATTTAACTATGAATTTTGTTTTGCTTTTATTTTACGATACCAAGGTAAGGGAACTGTGTACCTTTCTTAACGTGAATGCTTTTACTATATCAGCATCAGATTCAAACTTAACAATATCTACGTAGAAGACTTCTGTATAAAAATTGATGAATTTGTAAGGTAAACCAGTGTTGTTAATAATGCAAAACTAGGCATTTCATTTTTTGTACCTTCCTTTTTGTGCAAGTGGCTTTAATCGCAAGTACCAAACAGTATGCTCTGTGTGTCCATTAGAAAAATACAAAAGTTCACAAAAAAAGAAGAAAAAAAAGAAAATTGTACATCTCATATTTGTTTCTTTCTTTTCCAAGAAATTTCAATCAAACCTCACAGGGCCACAATTTGCCTCTGACTGCAGTAGTAGGACATATAGCCTTCCAAGGTGGAAGTCATCTATCAGATAGACATGTCGTTGAACCTTTTTCACTTAGTGTATCTGTATAAATACACAGCAATGGTTGTTTTTACATATAAAAAGACATTCAGTTAGCTCAATAGGTAGAGTGTTGGCCTTTAAATTGGGTGACCCAGGGTCGATTCCCGGACGGTACAGGTCATGTTCATTGTGATTTTTTTCTTTTCTACAGTCATTGGCACTGTATCCACTGTTGCATGTGCAAAAGTAAAGTCAACTAGTACTGGTAAACTGTTTGACAGCCTACCCAGGAAGGATGAGATGGTTGAACTCAGTGTAAATTCAGTGTGGCTTACTGCCAGAGTGAAAACTACCAACACCACCACCATACACAGCAAGGGTCGTTCTTGTTATTTTGCTATGTATGATGGGTTCCACGATGCCATAAATAATGTAACTACATGTACTGTATAATGTACAATACCTATATTTATGATTAGATGCTAAATATGATTTTATTACTGTAAAGTAAGAAACGAAAAATTTTAAACTGGCCTACTACATGTACTAACTTTAGAGTAGAGTATAGTAAAAGCATTTAGTTATGTAATGTACATTTAATTATCTAGAATTAATCAAAGAATTTTTATATTGGATCCGGTGGGTGCATGGTTTTCTTTTATACAGTATATAGGCATGATATTACACCCTTGTTATTTCTTTAAAAAAATAAAACCAAAGCTCAACTAAATTTAAATAAACACTTAACCTGCAGAAATTTGTAATGGATTTTTTATAGCTTTAAATTTGGAACAGCCTTTTAAAATTTCAAGATATATCAGTTTCAAAATGCAAAAGTTACTGAGGGTATAGAACCAAGTCAACTGACACTACTGTTTGGAGTAGGACAGGCATGACATTATACTGGTAGTAGCAATTTTTATGCCCCCACAGAGTGGGAGCATATAGCGTTGCACTTGTCCGTCCGTCCGTACGTCTGTGCGTCCGTCCGTCCGTCCGTACGTCCCGAAATCTTGTGAACGCAACTCCTCTTAAACCGGATGGCAGATTTTGCTTAAACTTTTAGGGATGAACAACCTAAACGTGTAGATGGTAGTAAAGGAAGGAATTTTTGCTGCGACTAAATTTAACAGAATTATGGCCCTTTGTTGTTTTTTTCATTATATACTATGTAGAAATTTTGTGAACGCAACTCCTCTTAAACCAGATGGCAGATTTTGCTTAACCTTCCAGGGATGAACAACCTTAATGTGTAGATGGTATTAAAGGAAGGAATTTTTGCTGCGACCAAATTTAACAGAATTATGGCCCTTTGTTGATTTTTTCACTATATACTATGTAGAAATTTTGTGAACGCAACTCCTCTTAAACCGTATGGCAGATTTTGCTTAAACTTCCAGGGATGAACAACCTTAATGTGTAGATGGTACTAAAGGAAGGAATTTTTTCTGCGACCAAATTTATTGGCACATGTAGTCCAAAAAATATTTGACCTAGAGTCATAAGATTGACAGAACAGTGGTGTGTGGGGCATCCGTGTCCTATGGACACATTTCTAGTTTAGTCTAATTGCTTTTGGTTTTAGCCGGTTAAGGGTTCAAACCTGCTATATCACAAAATATTTTTAATTAATGTTAGATTTTATATTGTACCTAGATCAAGCTATCAAGTTTATATTCACATAATTACATGAAATAAACAGAATAATTGCCTTTAGATTGCATTGTCTAATTAGCTTTGTCTCCAAACAACTTGTGCAAAAAGGGAGGTAGATGTTACCATATTTTCAGATTAAAAAAGTAGTATGGGGTACAGTGTGGATTCCAAACAGATTCAAATTAGTTTAAAATTAGTAACAAGCTTTCAGATGAACACCAAGCTAAGATATACTTATAAAACTAAATGATACATTACTGTTTGAAGTGTATTGAAACAAAAGACGCAGCAACAGAAGTCTCTCTTGTATAATAATACCTAAAATTGTTCCCTCAGTACAGAAATGGGTTAACAATTATTAAATCATATAAGGAATTAATCTGTTACTGCACCAATGTGACGAAATAATATATGCATGATAAGTGATTCAAGTTTTCCGGTGTTTCAATTAAATAAATTGCCTTACTGAAAACAATCATTGCGTCATTGAATATTCCCATGCAGTGAGCTTAATAGTTTGTCTGTTGGGTCTATGGCCCAGGCTTACCTGATATAGTACATTTTTCACCCTGAAGTCTGATTCAGTCAACTGAAATGTGTTTAATGTTAGTCATTTTCCACAGCTTTTGTTGAGAAGTTGGAAGTTACTTGTGGGGAAGATATGTCAAGTAACTGCCTGCATGTTTGTCAATGTGAATGAAATATTGCTAAGTTTAATATTATTGCTTAGGTAAAATACTATCTTAATGTTTTACCTTAAAGGTTTAAAGATATTAGCACAGTGTACATGTACTTATATAACGATGATACCCATATAATTCCACTCCATTCAATTAAGATTATTTTTTATTATTGAATGCTTTATCAATAGACAGTATTACAATATATACCATTTCTCTTGCACCTATATAAGTACTCTGGGAAGATTTATGCATGAGTAACTTTTTTTATCTTTGACATAATAGAATTTAATTAAATAACAAGTGGCTATGCTTTTTTCCATGTTTTGGGTTTCTAATTATGATCTGTACCTCATCTTTCTAGATTTCTGTAGCACTATCTTGTGCTTAATATTTTACAATTAAGTATTCAGGTAGTTAGAAAGTGTAGTTCTTTTCACATTAAGAGTTTTGGCATTGTCACATATTGCTAATATGGATATTTTCTGCTACAATAACACATTGAGAAAATCCAATATAGCCACCAAAATCCAATATGGCCACCAAAATACAATATGATGGTCATCAAATCAGGTATTGCTACCAAAATCCAATATGACCACCGGAAAATAAAATATGACCACCCAAAAATCAAATATGGCCACCAAAATTGAAAAATCAAATATGTCTATGGCCACCAAAAATCAAATATGGCCACCAAATTTGATATGATTGCTTCCAAAATCCAATATGGCCACCAATTTATTTATGACTTCCCCTTTCTATTTTTACTCCATTTTTTGAGTTTCAAACTTTTGAACTACATAGATAGTCATTTTAGATAGAACTGATCCCCCTTCATTTATAAATATAAGGTGTAGGTTTTTCTACTGTTTCTTTTTCAAAGGACATCTTTTCTGGATTTTAAAAGCCATCAAACTAAAATTATCAATTATTTATTATTATTATTTTATAATATTTTGTAACAGAAACAAAATGCTCACATTTTGAATTCATTTCACAGTCATTTCTTTGTTATATTTTGACCAGATATTTAATAAAACATGTATGATTTTACTAAGGTAACAATGTAGGTATATATAATTAGTAATAGACCTTTCTACCTTAAACGGACTTCGTAAACGGACTTCGTAATACTGAATAAACTGGGGGATTTTCTCAAAACATATATGATAAAAAAATCAATTAAACTGTAATACATCGGTTTTTTACATGAACATGTATATGCTAGTTATAGTATTTCTCAACCATCAACACATTAAGATGGATACAATATAACCATAATTTATATAAAGACCAATAAATAAAAACAAACAAACGAACGAACATTCATTTATATACTCTATTGTAGTGATAATTTTTCAACCGATGTTTTCAAGATAAACTAGTAAGTGTTGGTACATGGTGTGTAAACAGGACTAAACGTAAATGTCATCATATGTGTAATATGAAGTAACGCTTCAGTGGGCATCGCACGAAATCTCGAGTGTTAGAATAAAAAAAAAAGAATTATACACAGGTCGCCATCTGAATTCCAATAACATATGTGTTGATAGTGTGGAAGTGACAGTATCAAGAGTATAATTTCAGATTCCCCATATTACCCATTGGTCGTAATATTTCGTGTGATGTTCCATCTATTGCACCAACTGCGGGACCGTTTATCCCAGCCCACACGTTTACTAAACCATTGAAGTATGGTTGGCCAAGTGATGTAATTCTCAAATGTTATGTAGAATGCACGTATAGATGTGCGAGTTTCAACTTGTATATACGCAAGTGATACAATTAAGGGTTGGGTAACAAGTATCCATATCACAAACAATGAAATTATATTTACTGGAAACTGTAATTTTTAAGTTTATGATATGTAACATATATATTAATGTGTCTGATGCTTGACAAGTTAGATTATAGAAATTTGTGTACATATAAATGTATAATTCTAACGCTTCGTGCAATTTCACACTGAAGTGTTTCTACATTTTATATATACTTTAGTAACAGAGATATTTATACCAATATTAATACGACGATGATGTTTTGGGGGTTGGGGTAATAGAGCTCCGCAGCTTGCAGATGGTCTACGTCAGAAAGAATAATTACAGGTTGACAACAATAACTATGAGAGAGCAGTTTAAGACCAAATTAAGCACCCAGTGCCGGCTGTTTCGAAGGTTGCAGCAGGTCAACTTAATCGATCGGCTCATCGCGGGAGTAATAGGCTCTCCCTTGTATATCAAATATGAGAAAATCAGGCTCTCTATAGGAAATCCCCCCCTTCCGAAAAAACACCAAAACTACTATGGTTATATTTTCTCAATCTTTAATAGGTTGATATGTTGAAATCGTTCCATCCCAGTTTTAGCGTACTGCTCATTTTATCTTATTTCCCCGCATTTATGTTTTGAGAAACCCCCCAAATTATTCCGTATTAAGAAGTACGTTTACGAAGTCCGTTTAAGATAGAAATGTCTATTGTGCTTCAGTGATCGGTGAATGAAATCTTATAATAAGCTGTCTTTCATGATTTAATTGTAAACTGAACACTTTAATCACATGGCATTTTTTTTCTTCTTTTTTGCAATCTTTCTGGGCATTTCTTTCTATTGGAATCTTTAAGGGATATTATTATGTCAGGCCTTACATTGTATTTTCTGCAGATGGTTCTTTTTAATAATACTTGAAGGTCAGTGACCACTTGTGTCTGAAATAACAAGAAGGGGCACTGAAAGTTTTCCTAGACAATAAAAGCTGAAAATTTGTCATATAAGCTTTACAGTGTTGCTAATTGACTTAAAAATCCATCAAATGAATTCATTTTTCACTAAAGTTTGAAATTTGTCATATAATACAGATGTTGTGAGACTGTTTTCATCCCAACTTAATTAGTCACAGAAATAAGAGAGTGTTTGCATAAAACTATTTATGACAGGCAAGAAAAAAGGAAATTTCAACAGGACTTTTTAACCAAATTTTGCCACCATGTCCAAATTATAAATATAAAGCAGAAGCTATGTCTGCCAATGAAAATTGATTTGTATATACAAATACATTTGTATTATGATGTACACAATTCATTATCTTAAATACAAATCTTTGGTATTCCTCTTTAAACTAACTATGGTACATGTGTATGTGTGGTTTTTTCTTAGTCCTCCTCTGCCTTCAGTTTAACTATGGTACAATACAATTTTAAAGTCACACGGACCTATACAATGTACCTTGCAGTCTGGCCAGCTTTTATACAGTTAGCTACATAGATTAAGCTTTTTAGTGTCAAAAACCCTTGAAACATAATTATAATAATTGAAATACCCAGATATAAAGAAGAAGTTGATAGTTTAAAGCTAGCAATAATTTGGATTTGTATAATAATGAGTCAAGCTTTTCAAATATTTGATAGGGTAATATTTATTTGAGTTACTTCCCTTGTATTGCATTTTCTTTTTTGTTTGAAAACGTTTATTATAATTTTTTGTTCATTAGACTTGTTTTCTGTAGGACTTTAACCGTTTAGATTTTATAATTAAAGAATGTTTTTGTTATCTGATTTTGTAGGTGGATGAGATGTGTGAACATTTCCAGATTAAACCATTTACTATCACCAAAAAGGCGAAGAATTGAGTCAACACGGTATTTTACTACAGCTTTCTGGCTGAACAAGCACCAAAGATTTACATTACTGTAAATGTAGTTAATTTTTGCTTAGAGTACAATTATTGTAAAATTTAGATGATATTTTCTGCCAAAAAAGGGAGATGTTGAGGTTTCGAATGATAGTAGATGGATTTTATTTTGTTTTTTAGAAAATTGAAAGGTTCAATTAAAATAAAAAATTGAGATTATTTTTAGAAAATAGAATACATCTTATGTACGAGGGTTGTTCAAAGATTACAAAGGCTGGTATTGCTATTAACCCTAAGCTTGCTAGGGGCATCTGATTTTACCAGTGTGACCAGTGCAGACCAAATTAAACCAGCAAGTCCATGCCATCTGATCATGGTTTGCGCTGTTCGTTTTTTTAGTAAGTCTGATCATGGTCTGCACTCTTCACTATTTAGACAGTCTTATCATGGTCTGCATTGTTCACTATTTAGACAGTCTTATCATGGTCTGCATTGTTCACTATTTAGACAGTCTTATCATGGTCTGCATTGTTCACTATTTAGACAGTCTTATCATGGTCTGCATTGTTCACTATTTAGACAGTCTTATCATGGTCTGCATTGTTCACTATTTAGACAGTCTGATCATGGTCTGCACTCTTCACTATTTAGACAGTCTTATCATGGTCTGCATTGTTCACTATTTAGACAGTCTTATCATGGTCTGCATTGTTCACTATTTAGACAGTCTGATCATGGTCTGCATTGTACACTATTTAGTCAGTCTGATCATGGTCAGCACTGTTCACTATTTAGTCAGTCTGATCATGGTCTGCATTGTTTGGTATCAGCACGCTTTGCTATTTAATCAGTATGTTTTTTTTAAAGATTTCCCCGGTTTTGTCAAGACTGAAAATGGACAAGTTCATTAGATTTTAAGATATTACTTGGAAACAGGTCTACTGCTCAGTGCTCATTGTCTATGGAGACAACTGCAGTGCTGGAATGCTTCATTCTCCATTTCTTTCACTTTCAACCCTTTACCTGCAGAATTTCCTAAATAAACTTTTTTTTCATCCAAAATATGTATGTTAATATTTGTAAATTTTTAAACAACCCTCATTTCATAATCTTTGTAAGAACTGGTAATAAATCGTTCATAAAAAATTAAAATTTCAGTCAGCATGTTTTATTTAATCTTTTATACATTATATCTATTTTGAGAGATTTGTGACTAGTGTAATTTAATAAATGAAATTCATATATTTTAATGAGAACTGTTTGATTTTTATATTTTCAAAAGATCTCAATAAGTGTGTTCTTTATTTATTTATTCACAAGTATAAACATTTTGTCTCAAAGTGCGGCATTCACTCTTTGAAGATTTTAACCATTTTCTTAGTCACTACTGTTACTTGTATATAAGATAAATGAATACAATTTTATTGAAGAAAAAAATGAAGAAAATGAAATGATTTTATTTCAAAATTCAAACAATTTATATGATAAAAAAATGTCTCAGAGAATCATTAACACAGATAAATATCTTCATATTTTAAAAATAGGTGTAAACCCATTTTAGGCTCGGAAGAGATTATCAGTATCAATATTATAGAACTCAGCCAGTTCTCACATTTGAAGTTTTCTGACAAGGCCTTGAAGTTTAAGACTTTGTTCTCAGGATATTCATTGGTCAGTAAGCATACAGTGACAGTTTCTGACCAATCAAATGCCTAAGATCTGAGTTTGAGCTTAAAGATTTTTCTTTCTAACTTCAAACCCAGGGCTGTTTACTTTTGTATGTTCAATTTTATTACTTTGACAGAAGAAATGGACTGTTCTAAATTTAAAACGGGCCAAGTCCAATACATAAAAGTATTTGAAGATTATTGGAGATATACCTTGCTGAACTAATTGCATCACTGGGAGGGTTCATTACAATAATTTAATAACTTGTTTTAAAGTTTTGTTATATTGAACCTTGTTATGTCTGTCTGTCTGTCTGTCTGTCTTCGTCCTGTCAATAAATGAGGGCTAAAGGGTTTAAGTCTATGATTTTTTTTGTCTATTGATCCATTGAGGATGATAGCTTTTATGAAGTTATCAATTATCGCTTTCAATAAAATTAAATTTTGTTATTTTCATTGATTTTGATTAAAGTTTTTCAAAACAAAAAAGTATGAAATTTGACAAGAAATATTGTGCTTGAATGAGATCAGATAATTTTTTATCATACTTTTTTCTTTTATATATTATTGTTCTGTATCAAGTTAACAATGGCATCTTAAGCTAACAAAGTAAAAGGTTATTTGTAAAAGCAGCTTACCTTCAAATTCAAGTTTTGCTTTTGTCATTATATTATGTCCCAGGTCAAATGTAGAAATGAAGAGATATAACATAGACATACTCACTTAAAGACAGAAATGACCTAAAACATTTAAAAATATTCAGAAATTGCCCTTGTTTGTTAGTAGATATAGAAATATGCTAAAAACAATTAGTTAATTATATGATATTTTGCATAATTCAGTTTCAAACTATTAAATTTTGTTTATTCATCCATTTAAGATCAGTATAGAACCGGGTAATTATGTTGTGCTTTTTGTTTAAAAACCATATTGGCCATATGTAAATACCTCAGTACACCAAAACCTAAATGTTGTGAAGTTGTTATGTACTTGTGTGTCATACTTGAAATTTATTTATGAACTCATAAAGCCTATATGTTTGTATATTGTTATTTCTTGTGTGTGAAAATTATAGCTAAGATTCAATTCTTCATAATTGATTTAATGAATTGATATAGTGATATGCTTTAAAATTCTGAATGATATTTTTTGCTTGATTATTATTATTTTTTTTTTTTTTTTTCAATATTGAATAACAATACAAAATAAAAAAAGCAACAGTTTTTTTTTGTGTGTGTGGATTTTGTTTCAAAATAAACGTTTAATCTAATTTTAGATAATTGGTAATATATCCATTTTTTATTCTCAATGTTCATTCTTAAGTATTAAGATTTAAACGAAATTATATGATTTACTGGTAATATTTAATAGCAACATAACTATCATAAATAAATGCATGATCTCTGGGAAATGTATTTAGAATATCTGGACTTTGATTATAGTCAGTTTGATATTTTTAGATCAGTTTTTATGCCCCCACAATGTGGGAGCATATAGCGTTGCACTTGTCCGTCAGTCCGTCCCGAAATCTTGTGAACGCAACTCTTCTTAAACCGGATGGCAGATTTTGCTTAAACTTACAGGAATGAACAACCTTAATGTGTAGATGGCAGTAAAGGAAGGAATTTTCGCTGCGACCAAATTTAACAGAATTATGGGCCTTTGTTGATTTTTTCACTAGATACTATGTAGAAATTTTGTGAACGCAACTCCTCTTGAACCGGATGGCAGATTTTGCTTAAACTTACAGGGATGAACAACCTTAATGTGTAGATGGTAGTAAAGGAAGGAATTTTTGCTGTGACCAAATTTAATAGAATTATGGCCCTTTATTGATTTTTTCTTTATATACTATGTAGAAATTTTGTGAACGCAACTCCTCTTAAACCGGATGGCAGATTTTGCTTAAACTTACAGGGATGAACATCCTTAAGGTGTAGATGGTAGTAAAGGAAGGAATTTTTGCTGCGACCAAATTTCAAAGAATTATGGCCCTTTGTTGATTTTTTCACTACAATGTATATACTATGTAGAAATTTTGTGAATGCAACTCCTCTTTAACCGGATGGCAGATTTTGCTAAAACTTACAGGGATGAACAACCTTAAGGTGTAGATGGTAGTAAAGGAAGGAATTTTTGCTGCGACCAAATTTTATAGAATTATGGCCCTTTGTTGATTTTTTCATTATATACTATGTAGAAATTTTGTGAACGTAACTCCTCTTAAACCGGATGGCAGATTTTGCTTAAACTTCCAGGGATTTACAACCTTAATGTGTAGATGGTAGTAAAGGAAGGGATTTTTGCTGCCACCAAATTTAACAGAATTATGGCCCTTTGTTGATTTTTAGTTTTCAACTTGTGGCACATGTAGTCCAAAAAATATTTGACCTAGAGTCATAAGATTGACAGAACAGTGGCGTGTGGGGGCATCTGTGTCCTATGGACACATTTCTAGTTATTTATCAATTAAAAAAATTGAAAAAATTGTTACAGCATATTTATATAAAGAGAACATTAACAGTATCTATCTTCCATCAATGTCAAACCCCTCGCAAGGACGTAGACATGTCATATATCAGAGATTGGTTCAAATCTGGTTTTATCTCCATAGTTCAAATGAATGACAATCGTTCATACAATGTATTCTGCCATATACTACATAATTATATCTACATATTATTTTCAATTGCGGTCAAAGTTGTTGGCATTAATAGTAATACTTAATTATACCCCCCAAAACGAAGTTTGGGGGGGTATATAGGAGTCACCCGGTGGTCGGTCGGGCGGTCGGTCGGTCGGTCCAGACGTCCGTTGCATTTTCCTTGTCCGGAGCATAACTTGAAAACTAATGGTTGGAATTCAATATAACTACATACAATGGTCAAGCACATTGAGAGGAAATGCAGTGCACAAGAACCATAACTCTATCTTGACTAATTACAGAGTTATTGCCCTTTGTTACTTTTCCTTGTCCGGGGCATAACTTGAAAACTACTGGTTGGAATTCAAAACAACTTCATACAATTGTCAAACACAATAAGGGGAAGTGCAGTGCACAAGAACCATAACTCTATCAAAAGTAATTACAGAGTTATTGCCCTTTGTTGCTTTTCCATTGCTTTTTTTTTGTCTGTTGCATTTTCCTTGTCCGGAGCATAACTTGAAGACTTATGGTTGGAATTCAATATAACTACATACAATGGTCAAGCACATTGAGAGGAAGTGCAGTGCGTAAGAAACATAACTCTATCTTGACTAATTACAGAGTTATTGCCCTTTGTTGCTTTTCCATTGCCTTCTTTTTTTGTCCGGACCATAACTTGAAGACTAATGGTTGGAATTCAATATAACTACATACAATGGTCAAGCACATTGAGAGGAAGTGCAGTGCATAAGAACCATAACTCTATCTAAAGTAATTACAGAGTTATTGCCCTTTATTACTTTCCATTGCTTTCTTTTGTCCGGACCATAACTTGAAGACTAATTGTTAGAATTTATTAAAGCTTCATACAAATGGTCCAGCACATTGAGAGAAAGTGCAGTGCACAAGAACCATAACTCCATTTTGACTTATTACAGAGTTACTGCCCTTTGTTTCTTTTCCTTGTCCAGAGCATGACTTTAAAAACTACTGGTTGGAATTCAAAACAACTTCATACAATGGTCAAGCACAATAAGGGGAAGTGCAGTGCACAAGAACCATAATTCTATCTAAAGTAATTACAGAGTTATTGCCCTTTGTTACTTTTTCATTGCTTTCTTTTGTGCGGACCATAACTGGAAAACTTATTGTTGGAATTCATTAAAACTTCATACAATGGTCAGCACATTGAGAGGAAGTGCAGTGCATAAGAACTATAACTCCATCTTGACTAATTACAGAGTTACAGCCCTTTGTTACTTTTCCTTGTCCAGAGCATGACTTGAAAACTACTGGTTCGAATTCAAAACAACTTCATTCAATGGTCAAGCACAATAAGGGGAAGTGCAGTGCACAAGAACCATAACTTCATCTTGACTAATTACAGAGTTATTGCCCTTTGTTACTTTTCCTTGTCCAGAGCATAACTTGAAAACTACTTTTTGGAATTCAGTACAACTTCATACAGTTGTCAAGGACCTTCAAAGGAAGTGCAGTGCACAAGAGCCATAACTCCATTTGACAAAATACAGAGTTACTGCCCTTTGATACTTTTCCTTGTCCGGAGCATAAGTTAAAACGTACTGGTTGGAATCCAAAACAACTTCATACAATGGTCAAGCACAATAAGAGGAAGTGCAGTGCACAAGAACTATAACTCTATCTTCAGTATTTATAGAGTTATTGCCCTTTTTTCTTTTTCTTTGTCTTTCTGGACTTATTACAGAGTAATTCAATTAAACTTCATCAATGGCCAACCACATTGAAAGGAAATGCAACATACATGAACCACAATTATCTTTAATTGCCCACAACCATAACTCTATGTTTTAATTCTTTTACAAGGTATTCTGTTACTAGTAACATCCTCATTTCCGAAGCAGACTTGTGGGGGTATTAATCACATTTAGTGATAGTTCTAGTTAAAGTTTTGAAACAGTTTGAAAACCAGTCTGTAAATGAAAGCTTACAATTTGTCATTTTCAAATTTTACCATTTGAATAAGCCAATCAGATGGCAGTATTTGAGACTGGTTTACAATAAAATGATTTATAACGTTATAGTTATGTTGATACTGGTAATGTTTTTAAAATTTAAAAATTATTACATTTAGACTGAGATAATAGCATCTTTGGAAACGGTTTTGTATTTTTATTTGTATATTTTATTATATAGAAATCCTATCTTCTTATTGCAGCTAGCTCAGTTATTTCAGTTTTTTATGACTGAAATTGTTATGTATTGCTGGAGAAATAGTTATAAAAAGGGCTTGTAAAGATTCATCTTCATTTCACTCTGTCAAGAAAATTTCCCATGATCACTACTATGATGCAAAATATATCGGGAAATTGTTCAACTTTAGTACTTTTAACAAAAAAGTTGAATAATTAATTGAAGTGTAAATTCTAGAAAACTGTTATGTCATCCACGATTTACAAATTTTAGAAAATTAATATTATTGCACTTAATCATAATAATGAGTCTTCCTTGCTGAGTGGTGAAATTTGTGAAATTCATTTTACTTGCCTCTGGCAACTTGTTTTGAATATTAGAGATTCAATTTATGATACCTCTTAGTCACAGTGATGCTGTGAAGATCATGATATTGTATGATTTTTTTCAGGTTTTAATGGTGGATGCTTGAGTGTCCCTTTTTGCATTATTTCGGGCACATTTAAAATAAGCGGTCCACCAGTGAAGAACTTAGCGAATGAGAAACATATGATTGTGTTTTTTTTGTTATTGAGATTGATGAGTTTCACTGTGCCATAAAATTGATATTGAGACATACAATTTATGACACCAATTTGAACTATACCATTATGACACCAGATTGAACTATGCCATTTTTGACACAAGATTGAACCGTGTCATTTCTGACACCAGATCATGATTGAACTTTGTCATTTATGGCACCAATTTGAACTATGCCATTTATTACACCAGATTGATCTATGACACCAGATTGAACTCTGCCACCAGTTGAACTATGCCATTTATGACACCAAATTGAAACTGCCATTTATGACACCAATTACATTAATGAGACAAATGATTAAATTGTTAAGAAATCAAGGATGTATTTATTTAAGGTTTCTCATACTGGCCATTGTTGGAAAAATAGGGATATTAATTGTTGAGATAACCACACAAATTATTACCACACAAATTAATATAGAATGTACTGATTGTGATTTTGAAATTCATAATTTGATGATTATTGTATATATATAATTATTATGTTAATTGTAGATAATTTGTTCTGATACTTCAGTATTGTACCTTGTTGATAATTTATTGTACATGTATTATTATAGTAACTTACCTGTTACAGTTTAAACAGCTTTTTCTATGTTTTGAATGTGTTACCATTGTGTGGCAGTGAGATATGGAATGATGTTAGTTTGATATATAAAATAGGGGAATGGCCTAAGGTGTGAAAATGCGTATGCAAGAAGCTACAATGAATCTGATAAGGCGTCAAAACGTGTATATTTTAGTTAAATGGTTGATATGTAATCTTCATTTGTTTTACATATTTACTTTTCCAAGTCATGTAGGATCATACTACATGTATAAGTTAAGAGTGATATCGTGGGGTATGTGGCAAAACAGTTGTAACTGGTATGACATAAAAAAGAGGTTACATCCGTTTCACAACATTCCATATACATTTATTTACTATTATTAAATAATAGAAAAAAATGACATCAGGTTTTATACTGTCTCTAGCATTTTTAAAAAGTGTGTGGTAAAATGTGGGCTTTTAAGTTATACATAATAGGGAATTTTAAGAGGTTTGAAGCATATCATATAATGACAGACACAGCATGTCCACATAATGTTGTTTTGGGAAAGAAAGAAAGGTTTTATAATTTATCATAACATCTGGTTTGAGGTCTTGCGTGCATAACATGTAGAAACTCTATCGATGTGATACCGGACTTAATTAGAGACAATTGCTGGTAATTTTATGCCTAAAATTATGAAAAATCTACTTAAATCTGTTCTACATTATCTTGAAAACAGCTATCAGTAGTAAGCACAGGGATTAGCATATCATACGACATTGAATTATGGCACTGTTAAATTGTTCACTGTTTCGTATTATGTTGGTTGCTTGAGTATTTTGTTTGACTGTTAAAAGTCATTACATTTGTAGCATTGTAATTTAATTTATTAAAGTATTTAGATATATCACTTAAATACCTTTGTTGTTCTTTGTTTTAATGGTGCTAAAAATATACATATAACCAAAAAGCAGAAGCCTTTTGCTTAAATGCTGCTGTACTGTGATTAAGTTAGGCAGGTGACTTTCAGATCGTTTCAATGTCAATCGAGAGGACTTCACCAGATTGTTAATTAAGTTAGGCAAGTGGCATCGGCTGATTAAACTCTTAGCTGTCTGCTGGTGGAAACACATTTTACCCGTGCGACCAGTGCATACAAATATCAGCCAGTAGCCCCCCCCCCCCCTACACCCATGTGGGCTGATCATTGTCTGCACTGTTCGCTACATATTTCAAAATTTTAACTTACAAATGATAAAAAGTTTGGTCCAGTAAGTCCATTTAAAATATTTAGAATTGGTAAGGGTTAAAAACTTTGAATAATAACTTAGTATTTGTAAACAGACGGGTGTGTGTGTGTGTGGGGGGGGGGGGGGGTAGGTACGTATCAAGGCCATGTTCAATGAATTACCAAAAAGGACAAAACAAAACTGCTAGGACATTTTTTTTGATATAAAACAATGAGATCAACAATGTACATGTAGTTTTACACATAATGAACAAATTTCAGCAGACAACATTTCGAGCATATTCAGAGAAATAAAGGGAACAATCAGTTTATATTTTCTTCTCTATACCTTACACATGTAACACACCTTGCCATAAAGTAGCACACATTTGTAAACCAAGATAATTCAATTCATCTCTTCGGTTATTTAGGGGTGGGTGGCGGATGCCTCACCCGACAATTGCCTATATCATATTGTTACAGTATTTAAGGGACACTAAAAACAAGCGCATGGTAAGAGGCCTATTTTCCTCTGACATAATTGCTCCAAATCACTTGAAAAATGTTTCTTGTGATTGTTCATGATTATAAGGCATTCATGTTTGTCTGTGTATTAAATAGCTTATATACATGTAAATCTGCCTTTATTGCACAATAACCCACCAACTGATTCCCAAAACGTTATTTTCAATAGCGTTTTATATGCTTTCCGCCGTGACGTCATAATTGTTACGTAATATTTTAACGGAATTACATTCCAGCGTCGCGTTTATGCGTCATGATAACAAGTGTGACGTGAGAAACGCTCTGCATGATAAGTTTACCAACAGTTTTGTGATCACTCCTCAACACGTAAACGCCATTCACTGAGTAAATATATTGACGGACCTGAAAATATACGAAATATACACAATTAGTGCCATTAATATGCTGATTTTCATAATGTATACTGCATAAGTTAAGTTTATTCTTTTTTGTTGTTGTTGTTGTTGTTGGGGTTGCGGGGTGCTCTTTGATTTGAGACAAAAAGAATCTTTTATTTGTTTCCATTGCATGAAGACTTTCTAGAAATGGAGGATCGAATTTGCGACCCCTGTACCCAATATACAGTAGTCTGAAGATAAATATAAGTTAAACTACTAAAATATTTTTCCTTCATTATTACACGGAGCTAAATATACCTTATGATTACCCTGAACTAAATATACCATATGGCTAAAGTTATCATCTATATAAAATGTAGTGTTTTATCAGATACTGTCTATGGCCTACCTAATATGGTTCATTATCAAATGTTGTCCTGAATAATTTTAATGACGAATTTTATCTTATTGAGGATGGTGACAAACATTCCAATACGGGTACACCAGGTGAAAGATAGTGTTGTGATAACAATTATCTATACTCGGTACGTGATTAGATTAACATTTAGCAAGATGAACTTTTTACACCAAAAACTCACGTACACATACTTGTATAAAATAGAATATGAAACATTTAACATCTTTAGCTGTTGTAACCCAAAAAGATAAGCCTTTGGTACCAGCCAACCTCTACATCCATGAAGCCTGAACAGGCTCTTAGCTGTTGTCGGCTCATATTTTGTATGGCGGCTCATATTTTGTATTTTTCGATATTGAAATGTCTGGAACATTGTTTGGAGCGCTTGATTTTCAAAGGTCAAATTCATTTACAAATTCACCAGGTTAGGAGACATGCTGATTTGATACATAAAATGTTCAACCCAATGCTAACCTTAAGACCAGCAACCGCTGCCGGACCCATCGGGTCCACTGCTTGAACATAGATAGGACTGTTTCCACGTATAACGAACCCATAACCAACCGGATCGCTTCGAATCTGGAATAAAATCGTGCTTATCACTTAGATTTTATTATTCATAGGAAAGATAATCAAATAATGCGCAATTATATCATTCATACTGTAAAAAGTTTAGACATATTTCAGACTGATTGTGTTTAAAGAAAGCTTAGAAGTTTGTGAATCCGCTTCGTTGAACTTCTACTAATTATTACAAAACATTACTATGTCCCTTCTAGAGTTCGGACCAACAACCACTAGATCTACATCACATCCTTCAATTGGTAAACATTTTTCAAGTCGTGGTGAACTTTAAACGTACAAATGTACACACGTTAATACTTGTTAATACTCATTCTTAATTTTTGTAATTATCAAAAACAAAAGTAAAAAAATAATATAAAAATGAATAAATAAACTGACTGTATATTAGTTTTTTGGGTTGTTCTAGGAATTAAGGTACTTGCAATTTTCTTCAAAACTGATCATTTCAACAAGTAAAGCTGGAAAGTCGCCATATGACATGCATATATACTGTGTTGATCAATGCGATGTAAAAGCCAACTAAAATGCTTTTAGCTGTAGGACGTAAAAATATTTACTTACTTTTATAGTTTGTTTGATATATGGAGTGTCAGGAGACTCAAGTTCGGCTACTGTTGCATGACGAAGGAGTACTGAAAGAAAATGTCATATATTAGAATTAGAATGTTTTTAGTTTTAACTGCAAGATCAAACTTCTATTTATTAGACAAGTTTTTCTCTCCTAAAGAGCTTCAAGATAATTATGACACTCCCAGACGCTAAAAAAAGTAAAGTTTGATTCGGGAAACTACTGTGATATAAACAGGTAAAAACTGTGTTTTTATATCAAAGTGTGAATCCCCCTACCAGATCGCGTCGTTCCAAATTGTTCACACCCGGTTTCGCTGCAATCCGTTCCATTTCCGGAATCACCCGACATACTTCTTAATCGGTCGTCTCCGGCATTACCCAGGGTACCTTTGTTGTCGCCTTCCACTACCAAGAAATCCGAATTGCCGCCAATCGAATGTCTTCTACGACTTCTTTCTGGCGAATGTGTTGGTGATGCTAAAAGCAGTTAAAATTCTGGATAAAATGAAACAAGTTATGTCTGGGGTTTTTTTAAACATGAATTTCTAGATCTTTAAGATTTCTTGAAATGTTCAAACTCACAAAAACTACATTTTGTATTCATTGCGAACCATCAGTTAATTAGTTTTCCTAAAAAAAGAAGAATATTTGTGTATTTTAAGTATTTTCTTATTCCCCGTTATTAACTTACATTTAGGCGTATGAAACTGAAATTGTCTGTCTTTAGCAGTGGTGTTCGTCTGCCTGTCGTCCCGCTTCCGGTTATGTGGCACGTAATTGAATACTTCTGATAGTTGACGCCGCTTTGAGAAATCCAGTGTGAACTGGTACAGCAGACGACTGTCATCCCGGAAATGGAAATCATCTGTTACTGAAACAGGAATCAGGAATAGATTTGATAAAATATAGTCCATCTGTACATATTTAGGAAAAAGAACAAACATTTTAGTAAAGAGTATGTTCAACATCGCTGGGTACAATCTTCCTTCGTCAAAATATTGCACTTTACAATTTTACGCAGTAACTGTATTTTAACCATATCTTGTATATAAATATTCATGAAAAAATAATAATGTCGTCTGACATGACCAAAACAACAACAACAACAACAACTAGAATATTAACACACCATGTCTGATAGTGTCATTTTCTAGTAGTCTGCGACCCAGTATAACAGCCTCCTCCCGACTGTACACCGTACCCTCTCCCAACAGATAGTCAACGAACTCGGAGCCCTGAAACGCGTTCCTGTATAATTCACCATCTTGTTGATAACTTCGAATGATGTTTACACTTCTAGTTGATAATCTAAAACAAGCGAAACAATGCAATCTATTAGTTATAGACTTTATACAAATGATAAATATGACCGCACATCGTTAAGTCAACTTGATAAGAAAAAAACAATAAGCAGGATAAAATAGCATGTCCATTATTTAAACGCAAATAACTGTTAAAAATTGAAATTCTACATTAAATGTTTGAAATGAGTTTATTATAGAAAGTACGACAACTCTGTGATGTAATTACAATGTATTATTAGACAACAATGTTAAGTGTGCGAGTTATTCTTTAAATTAAACCCTACCCTAATGTAGAGGACTTGTCCATCTTTGCATTTGGATAGGCTTACAGAGAGAATGCCCATTTGACTTAATACTATTAGCGAAGTATCTTTTTATCAATACTGCTTGCACTCAAATGGTTAAAATTTAAGAATTAAATGACACACCCGTTATAAAGTTCAAGGGCTCTGTAGAACAGAGACAGATCTTTGTCCTTCATGTATGTGTCGTCATCACGCCGGAAACGGTAAAATAGAAGCTCGTCTTTAATTTCGTGATCATCGCAAACTGGAAAAGAATATGACCTCTAATAAACAAAAATGTACCGGACTTAAAATACTAAGTATGTAGAATCAATAACTTCCTTAGAACAAACAAATCATATGCATCATTGCAAAGAAAACTTTAGCTCTATTTAAGATCTTCAGTATGCTACTTTTGATAATTAATATTAATGATAATAATTATGGCGATTAGGATGATAATTGTGATGATAATAACGATAACTACGACAATGATGATGACGATGATAATAACGACGGCGACGATGATGATTATGATGATGATGACGATGATGATGATAATAACGACGATCATGATGATGATGATGTTATGATAATATGGATGATGATGATGATGATAATAATAATATGAAGAAGAAAATGAAGATGAAGCCTACCATGGTGGATTAACGAATGTTGCTGTAAAACCTTCAACCCGTCTATCGCGGCTTCTCTAGTAGCACAATGTTTATTTCTAACTAACCAGCCCACCAGCTCTTTACCCACAATGCATGACCGGTACGTGCGTAGATGGTACTTCCGGTTCTTTATGAGATTGGCATCTTGCAGTGCTTCCCTGGAAAATATATAAATGTAAATGCGAAAATTGTGCACATTCTGAGTGCGATATTCACGCATTGCAATAAAGAGTACTTAAACAGAAACCCTCTAGACTAGAATTTTGAAAAATGGAAATATTTATGATAAAGGAAGCAAAATGTAAACAAAATAATAGTTTGATTTCCATACAAAATACTAAATCAGTATAACTGCACTCGCAATCTGATTAAATCAGATATAAATAACGCTCCGCTTTTAGATCTGGCCGTGACCAAATACGAAATCATTTCTGGTGAGCTTTCACGCGAGCTCTCATAATTTTGAAAGCGATGTGGTTTTTTAATTTTTACCGTGGGGAAAACCGATACTTAGTAGGTAATTTTCACGATTTCGAGAACAAACATGACGTTGTCCATTTAGATCTAGCCGACAGGAAAACTGACAAAACAATCTTGCCCATTAAAAATTGACTATTATTTCAAGTTAATTGTTAAAAATTACTTCAAACATATTTTTCTAAAAAAAAATCTACAATTTGTTTAACTTCCACGCATAACGGTTTGATACTTCTGCTAATGCCTTCGTAAAAACCGCTTTGATTGGCTTTCTCGGGAAATCTGAATTATAAAGAAGGCAAAACATATACGGTCGTCATCAGATGTACATAAAAGAAATAGGTAGATCTGAACTTTATAGTCAGATTGACTGTAGTCTTTATTGTTAAAAACACATAAGAAGCGAAAGATTGCTCAGCTACAATTGTAAATGGCCAATGAGCTACCACTTGGAAATTTAACAGCTTTTGGGGAAAAACACCATTTTTTAGGCTTAATGGGTCTTTAATCACACACTTATGTTTTTTGAAGGACCTTTTGAGGACCTCATATGATTTGATGATAACACGACTGATTAAGCCCTTTCTCTCACATGTTGGGGTGGTGTGTACGTTATTTAAAAAAGAGAGAGAATATTCGAATAATTGAATAATTTATGCTCATATTAAGATTCCGTATACTATCATATATTGTATGTCAAAATGACAAATTACGCGTTTTTATATACATATGTATGTTGTAAAATTATAACGATGATCCTGACTTTCTATGGTATACATGTACGAACAGGTCGTTATTACATTACATTAATTTGTCAACTCTTAAAAATTGAGAGAGACTTAGAAAGTGTTAGAGTTAACTACACTAAATACCACATTCCTGTATATACCGGACAAGACGCTGAAATGACTAAATGCTAAAACTCGCCTTTTCACCCGCCGAAATGCAGTTTAATACATCTAATTCATCTCTTCACAGCGATTTATTTACGATATTTAATTAGAAAAAAGGTAAAAATCGATTAAAAAATGACATTTGTCTACTTTATGCTCATGATTTTTACAAGCGTCTTGAGGTACTGCTCCAACACTGTAGTGAGTTAAATCCAGACAAATTGTAAGATGTTCCCCAATCGCCTCTTTCTATTCGAATATTACATAGAACACTGGCATTTTTGTTAGGGTCAATGCTGTGGCATTTGTTAGATTTAAATTCATTTTAAAGTGTTACAGACTCATCGTAAATGCCCAGTGCGGACATCTTTTAAAAACTCGTCAAGTATTTAAGAGATAAAATAATATGATCACATTTTATCTTGTTTTTGTTGTTTTTTTTTTTCTCCTTCAAATAACAACCCTATAACTTTGGTATACTTTTTTAAATACCGCATCGTAGTATTTAACTTTATTTGCCCGCCTTGATAGTTTATACCATGTTTGTAAGATGAGACGATTCAACAACACCACCATCATCATCCTCATCATCATCATCATCAACAACATAATTAACACCATCACCAGCATCATAATCACCACCACCACCACCACCACAAGCAGCAACAACAACAACAATTAACATCGCCATCACCACTACTACCACCAACAACAACTGCAGAAGAATATCTAACACAACATACCTAAGCCTCTCGCCAATCAGCACCACCTCCATATGCTCCAGTTGCTCAATATTTCCAACAAAATCTGACATCTCCACTTCCTTTTCAAATTCACCAGTAAACTTCTTTATGACGTCAATAAATCGAAAATTTAGTCGATCCCAAGAGGGCATATTACTAGTACTCTCCAGAAATATATAATGTTATTCTAAAACACTAACTTAAATGACAGTGACTCGCATGCATTATTAGTCCAGAATTTAGAACAAGAAAACGCACATCAAATTACCAGCTATAATGGAACAATATCTTAATAAGTACAGTCTACCGCACATAAAAGTTTGTATATTTTCTGAATTTAATGTTAATCACATTAAAATATGAACGCTAGAAAAAATATAGTTATCCTTCCACATCTACGGTTACAAAGAAAATGAAACACCCTAATAGAAAAATTTAAAAAATCCCAGGTGACCACATGATGCAACATTATATTTAGTAGTTTATGAAACTGACCTCATATGATATTGTGATAACACGACTGATTAGATCCTTTCTTTCACATGTTGGGGTGGTGTGTATATTATTTAAAGCAACACGTCACCAGATTCATGCTAATTTTCATGAAAATTTAAAAACCTGTACGATTAAAAAGAAAAATATTGTCCAGTGAACAAAGAAAATAATTCTCACATTGCAAAGAACACTTACAACCCAAGTAAATAACCAAAAAAGAGGTCAAAATATGCAAAAATACCCTTATTGCGTTAGAAGCGCTCTAGATATATGGTGAAACATACTGCAAAATCATTCATAAATCGATCATTACATAAAAATTATTACTTTTATCATGAATCTTTCAAATGATCTTAAAAATCAAGGTACATGCATTTTTTTCTCAAGTTTGCTTATCTTGAAATACTTTGGTTCATCTGTAGGTATGCAGCTTGAAATAACATCAGTTTTTTTTCTCAGATTGCGTGTGATTTACGTGTATTTATAATTTGTTGAATTGATTTAAATACATTTTATTGGCGGATAGTCCAGCAGAAAAAATAAAATTATAAAATTCTTACGAAGTGTGCCTTTAACCCATTGCTTCATGAGCATTTTGTGAAAAATGGCTGTTTTCATTGAAAAGTCTCCCGTTACAAGTTCAAATTGCTATAATACTATAAAAACTGCTTCAACACTAATCAAACTTGGCACAAATGTTGACTGGACCATTGTCCTTGCAACAACATGCTCAGACTTAAATTTTCTGTTACCATGGCAACGAGGGGACATCTCAAAATTGCCAAAAATCACTATTTTGCGTTGATTTTTTCCATCAAAATTGATTTCAAAGTGCTGCAACTTATCAATGGATTGAGATAGAGTCAAATGCTTTTCAGCGTTGGTTACACGTTACCTTATGATCAATCTGGGGTCATTTACAGCCTCTCACAAGTCCAAAATTTTCTTGGCGATGAGGGGGACTCCGCCCCCCTTCAAACCCCCCAAAACAGAAGGGGGCACATCCCCCTTCTGGCAACCCCCTGATGTATCTTTTGGTTGGGGGGCCGCGCCGAAAAAGAGGTCAATTTTTTTAACAACATTTCTCAAACAAAAACAAGTGTTTGGGGCCTAAATAAGGCATTTTTTCATCATTTGAGACAACAAAAAGGGGGGGGGGGGGGTGAAAAAGGCGTTAAAAGGCGTGTATATGAAGTAATGGGTTAATGGCACATTGTACCTCAGAAATCCATATCTTTAAACTTTTTAGAAACGTCAATCATTTCTTTAATAATGCTTTGATAATGGATTAAGAACATTTATGATGTTTATCAACTGAAGAAAGTAGGGATGAACGTGCAATAATGTGTCGCAAAGGTAGCAAAAATGTAAACAAAGTAGTATCTTGACTTCCATACAAAATGCTAATTCACTATAATTATACCAATTGCCAATAGAGCAAAGAAAGCAAAAAAAAAAAGGTAATACATTTGGCAAACGAGTTTTTTTGTTTTTCAAAAGATATCAGAAATAGAAAGTTTATGAGAATAAAAATTATAGCATTTGGCCTTTAAGGATCGTACAACTGAATAGCTATGCAATTTGAGATAGTAACTGACTTGTCTTTTATTCTATTTAATTATTATTATTATTATCATAATAATAATTATTATTATTATTATTATTATTATTATTATTATTATTATTATTATTATTACTATTGTTATTATTATTATCATTATTATTATCATTATTATTATTATTATTATTATTATTATTATTATTATTATTATTATTATTATTATTATTATTATTATTATTATGTTTGATATGTTACAAAAAAATCACATTGCTTGATATATTTCTGTCAACAAGTTGTTTGTTAAGCTCATTTGAGACAAGGGAACGTTTTAAAATATTCTGTTTTTGTCGTTGTTGTTGTTGTTATCTGCATGTTGTTGTTTTTGTTTTTATTATTTATCTTTTTTATTCATTTTTTAAATTTTAATTGAAAGATAGCAAAGATGCTTCGTTAAAATGGCCACTTTAAAGAAAAGTATGATTAAATGTAAATTTGTTTATATAGTACATATCTAAAATCAAATGATCGGAAAATAATGACCATCCATTTATCAAAAGTTTGCACCAGTTAACGGTCAATTATGCATGTATGTGGTCATTGTCCTATAGAAGGTTATCAGTGCAGTAAGCGTCCTTATGTAGATATTTTAAGATGAAAATCCTTGAAATTCCGGTATGTCAATAAGAATGTCAATTTAGAAGAAAAGTTCACTGTTTTTGACAGTTTATGTGGTCCTCGGTAACACAGGCTGTTTACCGTATACCGTATATCAGTATAAATGCAGTACACACGGAATGTGAACCGTGGGTTTCGACGGGATATTTAAGACCTTTTATTACTCAGTACCGGGCATGCAGTGCTGAGATTTTTCCATTTGCATAATTATTTTAATCAAGTTTTTGAAACGCATCCTATTTAAATACTTTACATCATACTTATTAATCCAAACAAAGATCAGGTATTATATAGAAAACAATATATATTGTTATCAAACAAATATCGAACATTAAAATTCCATATAACATTACTCATTAATCAACTATTATCTAAATGTTCACAACATAAACCTTTCATAAACATAACACGCATATATTTAACCATGTAATAATATACTGACGTATGTAATATATCAAAGGAAGTGAAATGATCACTATAATTTATCATAACTTATTATAAATGATTTTGGTAATGATACGAGCGTGTTTCTTCAATGTAACACTATTTTTGTATAATTTGGGGTTTTCCAGTATAACTAACATGGTCTGTTAAGCTGAACTATCGAGTGAAGACTTGACTTCATGGCCCTCCTTCCATACCGCCCTTAACACATTAGTTATTATATACGTGTGTGTGCAGTCAACCTTCCGCAAGGTAGCTGAGACCGCTGTCTTTCATAACCGTTATAATATTTTTCTACCGCCATTGAATGATACACACCCAGGTTGACTAAAAGTAACTGCATGGATCGAAGTCAGTGACCTTAAAATATCCACTCGGCAACCGAGGTCATAAAACCACAGATTAGTTCATTGGAAGAACACAATGCAACCACTGATTATGCAAAAAATCCTCGAGAATTCTTGCATACTTGTACCAGGTTAGCTTTTTTAGAGCACCGGTGTTGAAAAACAGGATTACCACATTAAAAGGAACACCCAAGTCGGATAGTTTCGTCTATATCGGCAGCCAATGGTAAGAGTCTCATAAGCATCCCATAGTCAAACTAATTGTACTACGCGATGAGATATTGTACTATTTTGAGTATGGCAATATCTGCCCTCTACCATTCTAACCCAGAACAAAACATGTATCAGAATCTAGCTTTGGCACGTCAAAATATTTTTACTAAAGTATCCCAGTACCAAGCCAAAAAAGATAACAAGAAGGTCTTTAGTTGACAATCACCACACCACTGACCATATATACCTTCTTTGTTGTTTGTGAAAAAAACACGGAATTAATCAAAACTACCAAATGAACTAAAACATCAAAAACATGCAAAAACAACAACAAAAACATGGACAAAGAGAAGGAAGAGGAAAACAAACAGAGAAAAAGCAACAGTAAAAAACAACATGAATGAAACAATGGAACAGCTTTAGAACAACAACAAAAACATACCGTAAGGTTTCCCCAAGTTGGAAAATTTCCAGTTTTTGTAGAAAGTCCATATGGTAGTAGATACATTTCTTTTCAAAAACAAATAATCGCGAATATATGTGTTGCATTGCCATTTTGTACAATAACGAGTCCAAATGTCTCATTTTCGCCTGCTTCCAAACCAAAGAGTTTGTTTGTAAAATACATGTATCAGTCAATAAAATTGAACTATTGGTGTTTTGTGATAAATTTTGTTGATGGAAATTTCTTAAGGCATGTTTGAAATGAGTCATAATTGAACTTAGGCTTGTTGTTCAAAAGACCCAAAATAAAATGACCTTGCACATCTTTGATGTTAGATCAAATTTGGTAATCTAACGCTTGTTTTGTTACTATTTTAAGTGTTATATCACATATTGACCAGACGAGACAATTCGTTATGAATCTTTGATCCAGAGACAGCCTTGAATTTATTCTATCATGGTTTTCCCCTTTTAAACAATACGACCTTGCACGACGTTGACGTCATATGGTTATTTAACGCGTGTTTGTTAAGTACTATATTTAGTAGCAGCATGGCCAAACACGGGCTAACTGTATATAATTAAAATCTTTTATCGGAAAATAAATACAGATAATCTTTCGCGCTGAAATGATGTGTGGTTAAAACTAAGGTTTAAAATTGAAGAGGTCACAATTATGTTCCAAAGGGCATATTTAAATCAATGCTATCCAAAAATACATTTTAGGTATTTACATCATAACCCATTTGGATTAATTGCGATATTTTGCACAAAATCTAGATCCATGTAAAGGATTTACATACAAAGTTTATTGCTCGCACAAGGTGTTTGTTCACACCATTTCCTGGAACAAATTCTATATTTTGGTTTGAATAGGTGGTTGAAAAATTTAAAAATGGTACTTCTTTCGTTACATCCACAAAATTAACGCGAAAATACGGGAAAAAACCGCAAGCACGACACCATCAAGGGGGAAAAACCCGACACATAAAATTTTGTAACCGTTTAATTATCTTTGCATTTTTGCTGCATGTTTGCTTTTGGCATTTTCGCTTTTTGGCATTGTTTCATAGTCGTGTTTGTTTTTTTGTTGTTGTTGTTTTAGTCTCACTATGCCTTAAAACAATTTGATTTCTATTTCCAACGAAACCAACTTGAATTTAGAAATTGTCGATGAAAATTATTATTTAATCATATATTGAAAATGCGTCTGGTAATTAATCAAAACATATATAAACATCTCCCTAAAAAAAAAGAAAGAAAAAAAGATTACCACCGACAACTTGAACTTATTTATATGTAAGCTCGATTGCGAAACAAGTTCTTGCAACTTATATTAATCACTTTGGAGTGGAACCAATCATACTGGTCTTATATGAAGAAACATTGCCGTGACGCGATTAGCGCTCGAACGTATGGACCTTGGGTTGAGAGGCAGACACCTTGACCACTTGGCCACCGCTCCCCTTAAACAACATTTAACAGTATTAAACTACATTATCTTGCTAAAAAGGTTTATATGAATAAGGCAAAGCCTCAAAGCATATGAACAGGAAAGTCGGTTAAAATAATCATTCATTTTAATTTAACATTTTCCGTTTTAAGTGCCATTCGGTATTTTGTGCACTGCTTCCGTTTATTCTGGTTTTCTGTCCTATTATGGTTCACATAGAAGTGTGCAGGAGACTAGGCTACGCATCCGTTTTAAACAGAATTCGTCGGCTTTTATCCAAAAAGTTGCGATTGACCTTTACAGTTCTTCCGGCGAAAGTCTATCTATATATAGCAGGTACTCGCGTAACCTGCGAGCAGGCCCATCGAGCTCGCTATTTATTAATCCACAAATTTATTAATTCACAAAATTTATAAGTTTTTAACATAATTATTTCAACCGGACCATTTATAAGACGGGACAAAGCACTCTGAATAAAACAGTCGCCGGCAAAAGTTTTATACAGAAGAAAACTATAAAATGACATTATAAATAAAAAAAAAGGCTTTTGAAAAATAAAAGATTAAAGCAATTTCTGGGGCATAATTGGCCTTTAAAGCAGCATGCCTCCAGATTCATGCTTATTTTCATTAAAAAAAGTGAAAAATGTATTCAAAAGTAATATATTTTGAAGAGAACAATCATTCAAAATATGTCTAAAAGGGTATAAATAGCCCTTACTGCGCGTAAGTCACGCAGTAGAAATATTGTGATATAAATACTGTAATTTAACCATGCACATATAACATGTAAATCATTACTTGAACCCATTTACATGTACCTTTCTTAAAGCCATAGTACATTTTTCTCAAATTTTGTTTTCTTGAAAGTGTTTGGCTAATCTGGAGGCATGCAGCTTTAAGGAACGATCCTCGACGTTGCATAGGAAATCTATGTCGTGAAAGCTCACCTGAATGAAATTCAGTTCACAAAAGATCTCATGCTTGATAAAGAGCAAACATGTTTAAACAAATTTTGAGCTTTTAAAATCATACGATTAATGAATGACTAAACTGTGACGTACCATCATGCATTTTCTGAATGACTGAAATGTAGCTTACTTTATTTATTTGTACAATCATCATAGATAATTGCTCAGTTATAAAGATCTGGGACGTTTTTTAATATTTACATGAATTGGTCATGTATATTTAAATAGGGCTTGCATCATTGAAAAAAAACATCATATACATGTTAATTGACATACAGTGAAAAATGTAAGAATACAAACTTGTATAGTAAAACAACTTTAAAACATTACTTTCTTATGGCGTAAACAACCGATTTGATTTTTTCTGTTATTTTTCCGTTTTTTCTTCTTCTTTTTTTCTGTTTTTTTTAGATGAAAGAAGAACAATGATAAATGAAATTGACATTTTTTTATAATTTATTTGTTGTGTTTATGTACTAACACTGAATTAAACACTTGTCACATTTTTAGGACTTCAACATTTTATTTAAAATTATCAACTTGTTAAAGTTCAAAGCATAATAATCATTTTTATTTTTTGTCGTTTGTTCATATCATATACTTTATTCGTCTAACAAAACAACACTTGTAAATCAGTAGCAACTTGGCCCATTTCCGTCAAATTTCGGATAATAGCCGAGATGTTCCGACAGATAGCAACTTTTATGTGGAAAGGGCAATAACTCCTCAAACATTAGACTTATGTTTGTGAGCTTTATTATTTAGACGCGAGCACTTGTACTCTCTGTAAAAATCACCAATTTGTAAATGATAAATACTCTTTATCAAGCAAGAACAACTTCAAATCAACGCTTTGTTTCACGTAACGTGATTTTCTGGTTATATCGATTATATCTGTGCAAAATAAAGTATGCTTTCATTATAATTATTGTTCACTTTAAAAACATAGGGAACTAATATCAATTGACATATTTAGCTGTTTTAAGGGGGCCTGCCTCTCAAATGTGTCGTTTTGACCAACGCAAATGATCGTGCGTTCGAACCCTTCTTAGGCTACAGCCATGTTTACTCAAATGACACCAGGGTCTATGGTGATACTGAATTTTCGAAGCTCTAACTCAGATCTCAGGTATTTGATTGGGCGTGAACTATTTGACCGATAAATTCCTGGGATCAGAGACATGTCTCAGATAAAAGTTCCATGCTAGTACTTGTTATTTCCTGACAGCACACTCAATATGGTTCAAATAAGTACAGCTGAAATTAATAAGTTTAATCTGATAAATAAACTAAATCACCTACCTTAATTGATCCCCGATCAGAAATATCTCATTAACTTTACAGAAACTGCTCGACCTGGTTCTATACGAGTGCTCTGGTTGCATAACGGCAGCCCCTAGCATCTTAGTTTCGTAGAAGGACTCCCAGAATGAAAACAACTGAATAATGTTTTGATTGCGGTCAAAATTATATATTGTGACACTGAATTGATGTTATGTTAAGATAAAATAGATATAAACTATAGGCTATATCGAACTGTTTTGTTTATCAACACAGTTTAGTCAGCGATATAACGCGGATAACGAGATTTGGGACGCTGGTTGAGTCTTCCTATTTATTTAGAACAGACGATAGGGCTTTGTTATCGTTTATTATGAATGTGAGTTATCTGTATATGTGTAACTTTATCGGCCTCAAATACACCCACATGTACAAGTGATCTATAGAGGTATGAGCCTTTAAAAAATCAACATCATTATCATCATTGTCGTTTACGTCATCATCGTCGTCATTATCGTCATCTTCAATATATTCCGCCGGGATTTAAATATAATTATATGTCTGCCAATTCTTCCTTTTCGTGTTTTTCATTTTAAATGTATATAATATTATAAAATACAAACATATGAAGACTAATAAAAGACGATTTTGTCAAAATTGTTTTTTTTATGTTTTTTTTTTTTTTTTTTTTTTTTTTTTTTTTTAATAAGATCAAACATGTATTTTCTTACACAATGACTTAATAAATCAATTGAAATAGCACACTTCATGCTGTTATGTATTGAGTTAGGGAGGGAAAAAACTAGTATTTAATTAAATTGTAATCTGATACCAAGAAAACAAAAGCGCGAAGTTTTAACTTTATACACATTTTACGCTATCATGCGTGCATTGTAAGAATTTGAATATCTGATTTTAACTTATTGAGTCAATAATTTAACAGTATATCAACGCGGTTATATACATTGTTTAGTTATGATATATGATTTGATTTATCTATATACATTGACAATACGTGACAATATTAAGATCTTAAAATATAATTGTTACTTAATTACAGCCATTTTAAGCGAGAATACCCATTGTGAAAATTCGAAACGATCTTTATTCATGTTTATACATTACAGAAGTAAATTGTTTTTGTTATTTCGTAATTTTTAAATTCAAATTTCGTATGGAAATACCGAAATGGAACGTAAAAGAGTTTCTTTCAATATTAAAACAGCCACGTGCGGCTTTTGTCGTTTACATCAACAAGGTTTGCACGCAGACGACACACATTCACGCGAGGCTGTTGTCTTTTGCAAAACTTGCGACGAGTTCTTGTGCACTGGTTGTTTGAAACCACACAGAAAACTGGTAGTGACAGAAAACCATCAACTTCTAAACAGAGATCACTTGATAGTTGCAGACGAAAGGAATGACCATGTGACTAATGGAGCAAAGTTTGATTTTGGATCACTTTCGTCTGATGCCATAAATGGGTATGGACTTTATAGAGCCAAACTAATAGAGAGTATATCGAAAGATCCTTTTAGTACTGAATTAGAAGATGATAAGAACAAAGATGCGACAGACGACCCTAAACCAGCAGACGACAGTTTTGACGAGGAAGAGGAGAATGTGTCATTGTATAGTTTCTCTGAAATGTGTAACCAGCATTCAGATGAGTTTTTAAAATACTTCTGTGAACAACATTCTCAACTATGCTGCGATGTTTGTAAACAAATCGATCATGACATTTGTTTCTCAAAAGTAAAATTCATACCGGAAGTGGTCAATGACTTTGAAAAGCTTTGTCCGCCGTATAGAAAGATTGAAGCTCAAATATCGGATTTTAAAGAATATGACCGGAAGTTGCAATGTGATTTGAAAGAATTGAAAAAGTCACGTGAAACGTTTCTGCATGACTTAAAACTAAAGAAAAGGGAATTATTGAATTGGATAAATCTCATGGAAGTACGTGCAGTGCGTAGACTTGAAATTGTTTTCGATAAATGTAAGAAAGATATCGAGAAAAAACGCCAAAAAGCGAAACTAGCTTGCGAGGATTTACGAGCGGAAGTTTATTTTCTGAAAGAAATTTTACGTAGTGATATGCACAATAATATCTATAAATATATTAAGATGAAAAAAGCGGAAAATTCCGTGGATGAAGCATTAAAGAAAAAGGAACATAGACAATTTACGAACACAAGGTTTAGTCTGAATGTTAATGATGATTTCAATAGAGCACAAAAAGATGCAGAACAACTTTACGAAATAAATTTTGAAAAGAAAGGTGAAACAAAGTATAACATCCGACTAAAAGAGGACAAACACGTCTGCAACATCACCGGATGTGCAATGATGTCGTCTGGTGGCATTGCTTTGGCAGATCGAAACAACGCTAATGTCAAAGTCTTTAATTCTCAATTCAAACTAACCGCTAAAATAAATGTGCAAGACGGGTTGTTTGACCTAACGTGTATAAGTAAAAATGCTCTTGCTGTAACGTCTCCTCTGAAGAGTAAAATTAATATTGTTGAAATTAGACCGGAACCGGAAATAGTCAAAGTTGTAGAAACTGGCACTGGAACATGTTGGGGATTAAAATATTATGATGATTTTTTTGTTGTGAACTGTTCAACGAAAGATTCGTCCTTTATTCGGGCAGTAAACTTAGATTCAAATATTGTATTCGAAATAGAGACTAAATGTAATTTCTTTACTGCATTATATTTAGATGAGGACAGGAAACTACTGACTACATTAACCGCGACGTCTTGCCTTATTGACGGAAGTGACGCAAGAATTGGAAATTATATCGATGAGCATGATGGTTCTTTGAGCGAAACTCAACAATTGAAAGTTTTAGAATACAACTTTTTAAATCACCTTCGAACAAAAGGAGTAGCTCTCGACAGCCACAACAATCTTATTGTTTGTTGCAAAGATACCGATCAGATTTACACTATTGCGCAAACCGGAAATGAAGCAGAGCTACTTTTGGCGGAAGCAGATGGACTGCGAACGCCGCAGGCACTATGTTTTAATGAAAATAAGAGCAAGTTGCTAGTGACTTCTGAAAACACTGATTTTGTTCAGATTTTTGAATTCGATTCTTAAATTATTATGTTTGTTTTACTTAGTTCAAGTCGACTTCTATTAAAACTGAATTCATCTGACCGGCTCCATTTATTTAGGTCAAGATTTTCTTTGCAGTCGACGTTTGTTTGTTTTTTATTTGAAACAGAAGAGATTACATTTTGAAAAAGATGCAGTATGTATGAGAAAGCAATCGTTTTTCTCGTCGTATCTAGAGGTCGGTCTCATCTACAGAGTTTAATGTCATAGGAGGGTTGTATCTTGTAAGAAGAGAAAAGTTATTGATTCTGGACACCTAGTGTCAAGTTTAAAGGTCACGTGTAAAGTTTAAAGGTCACGTTGATAGAAAAAAAAAATTAGCGATGCAGCTAAAGAATTGTTGCAGCAGCTTCATTAAACATCATGGCCTGATTTGTCAGTAGACAATAAAGTTTAGCTATTTATTTAGAAACAGCAGGTTCAAATGTCAATATCAAAATAAATTTATGCAAACAAGTGCTTTTCTCATCATGACTACGGAAAGGTAAAAAAATATAGTAGTCAAAAAATATAGAAGTTTGTAAGATAATTAAGACCCCTATTACATTTTTTTCTATGTCTATGCGACAACAATTGTTGAGACCGATGACTCTAAATTTACATACCTTTTGTGGGTTAGTTACCCGCCAGAGACTTTGGATTCTTCCATGTGATTAAGATATCAAGCTAACTTACGTGAGGGCGGTGGTTCTACTCAGTTTCTTGCTCGAACCTGAAATAATGCACGGATGGGCACCCGAATGGAAAGCTGGAAAGTCGCCATATCACCTCAGCAGTGTCGGTCTGACTTCAAACCCTAACCCCAAAAAATTTATACCATAATATGAGACAATTATATGAATATCAGACTGAAGTTCAAATCTACATGTACTTACATATTAAGTTAATTCTTGCCAAATAAACTGGAAATAATAAACGCAATTTTCGATGGGTAGGATTGCTTTCTAGTTTACCTGCCGGCTATGTGGACAACGCCATGTTTGTTCTCGAAATCTTGAAAACTACCTACTCAGTATTGGTTTTCCAGCAGTTAAAACTGGAAACGCATCGCTTTCAAAAATGTACAAGCCTGCCGATGATTGGCTGTAAAAGGTGACCTATTGGTGTCCGTCAGATCGTTATGCGTAGTGTTCATTAGGAGCTGATTTTAATAAGATTGATTGTAATCGGTGATGTTTACAGTTTGAATTGCAGACATGGTATTATAAGCACAAATACATCATTTATATGTATATTAATATGTAAGATATATGAGCAATTATATAAAAAATGCATATGAGAATGAATATATTGTATGTTCTAACCGGAATTTCCAGAAAAACCGATTTCGCTATAAACGTTAATATGATATACTGAACTGATCTCGTCTCGTTCTATGTGGAGTCAGGGTCTTTCAAATAGAAAGACCCTGATGGAGTGGACAGTATAATGCAAAAATGAAATAACATTAAAAAAGAACACAGTTACAATTATAATCGTTATTACCACATTCATATTTTATAAGAAGAAAACACGTGCAAAATACAGATAAACTAATGAGAATTTATATCCTACTTGAATGGCAGTCGTGTACGCCCCTTGAAAAAAAATCTAATTTTTGACACTGAAAAGCAAGCAAATTAAACATTAATTACTCTGATCTTAAAACCTTTCAAAATTGGCTTAAGTCAAGGCGAGTTTTGTATCAAAGTACGGTGAACATCGTGTAATTAGATGTTATCATATGATCGGGAGAGTGTCTTCTTTAACGAAGTGCACTGGGGCAGAAATAAGACAGTTTTGTATCTTCATTTGCATTCCGGTAGCTTCTCCATAACAATATATTTACAATTTCAAATTACAACGCTTTAAAACGTTTATGTTTTATGTAAAAACCGCATCTAATGGATGACATAGGGATATTAATGTGATGATAAATCGATAGAATTAACAGATCAACTATATGAAGGGAAAAACGAATCTTTATAATTCTATGAATTAAACTTTATTTTAAGCGAATTTGGTGTGTTTTCGGATAACCTCGGATAACGGACAGTGTTTGAGAGTAAGATGAAATAGTCATGTTTACCATTAGTTATATTGAAATTATTCGTATATGTATACGAATGTATATAAATAAATAACCATGCGCTTTCTTTTTCACATTTCATTTGCGGATTTTTGTATAAGCGATGAAAAATCGATTTAGACTGAATGACAAGCGAATAGTGTATTCAAAAAGACCGCATTCAAAATAGATTTTCGTTTAAAAGTGCGTTCACTGTAGCGATAAAATATCAGGTTTATAAAAAATGAATTTTAACGTAGGATGTTCATGACTGATTGATGTGGATATATTGTGTTGTTGCATGTGTAAATAATTATGTATATTAAACAACATACGAAACGGATTTGACTATTCATAAGTTACATTGCCGATTTTATGTACATACTATCTCAGAAAGTGTGAACAAATACGTAACCATGGCAACTAAAGACACAAGTCCGTCTCGTGTCCGAAGAACATTACCTCTTCTGTGGTCCGAAAAATCACTAAACCTTGTGGATTTGTTGAAAGAATTTACACTTCCGGTTATAGTGAAGATGAATGCAGACGATAAAAGTAAAAAGAAGAAAGACGCTAGTTCAATGCTGCAACAGCCATTGTTGTTATTCAAAGAGGTCAAAGGGTTCAAGGTCGTTGCTAGGAATATATCAAGTCTGGTAGCAGTGAAAACTTCCAAAGATGGCGTTCAGTTCAAAGAGGGCGGATCAGTTGTAGTCATTCCCGTGGACTATCCAGGTAAAGATGCCATCATGCATATTGAATCAAATATACTTACATCTTTGTAAATAAACAAGCCACTCTCGTCTGATTTCGATAAAGTACTTCAATGAATGTAGTTCAATCAAGATAAATAATCAGCACAATCGTCTTTTACTTTTTGGAGAACAAAATGTACGCTGCACTGATTCTGTCAGTTGGTTGGTATCTTTTAAAAGGATCTAATAACATACAGTAACAGCACTTGCCTTTGTTACAAAACAGTTTCTCCTCGTTCAAGAATTTCAAGCTACGCACCTACACCCCCCCCCCCCTTTTTTTTTTAAAAAATCCCTTACAAATTGAACATAACCAGGTCGACTTGTTCAGTAATGCATGTGCTGTGAATCTCGCTGGCAATAAATATTTCTGTTCTGGTTTATCAGTGACTTTTGGGACTTGAACCCAGACTACTTATTCACAAATACTTAGTGAGTCATATTTAATTCATATAAATACATATTGTCCCAAACACATCCATAATAAAATACATACAAATATAACTTGAGAATGCAAATATTTGCAATGTATGCATGGGTAAACAGATTCATTTTATCCAAATACATCACACAATTTCAATCGCTTTACCAAGTGAACATTTAAATGTAGGCAAACCTCACCAGTAGGTTTGGATATACATGTACACCGATGTAAATCTATTTGTCATAAACAGGAGCTTTCAGTCTGTAATAATTTTGTTAATCCAGGCTTTGATCAAAATTTTGATAAGTTTAAACACCGTACTTACTTGATTAAAAGAAACATCTAAAGATAAAATTTTTTAAAGAAAACAATTACATTTCATTGAAGAACTTGATTGCATTCTTACAGCTCAAGAATTATTCTCACTTTAAAGTTTAATTTATAGGTTGGTTCCGGATATTAGAAGAAGATACAGTTCCAATCCTTAGCGTAGCAAACATTGCCAGGATCATGCCAGCCTCCTTCCTCTCAACCAAAAGATTGACTGGTTTCACTCTGTTAGATCCACTGAATAAAAAGGAAATCATGTATGAAAAACTCGAGTACCCGCCCGGAGTATTTTACGTGCACAGCGTCTTTGAAGATTACGTCAAATACGTCGCTGAAAAGAACGCTGTGAAAAGAAAATTGCTGCGTTGTCTGGTTTGTGTTACTGAAGACGGGATAGACGTTTTGATACCGTTTGATGTAACGGGAGAATTTTATATTGTTGAATATAAGAAAGCTGTGTCAAAAAGTGTAAAAGCCGACAGCAATGCTTGCGCGTATACTTTAAAACAACTTGTCGCTGTCGGTGCTTTCACAAAACCTCTTGTGCTAAAACTTTTAAAAGGGGAGCCACCAAGTAAACCGTGTGGTTTTTCGGGCGTTGTGAAAGTATTTGATATTGTAAAAGACTGGACAATCGTAGCAGAAACACTCGATGGAAACCGGAAACTCCTCGAACTACCGGTTTTGCCGTTCCCAGAATTCACTCCGTCCACTAATGGAACAGATCTCTTAGAAACTGGCACACTCCGCCCAGAGCTAATGTTCATGGGTGGCGGGGCTGCAGATAAATATGCCAAAGAAATGAAAGTAAAAACAAGTTTTAACCTGCAACAACCGTCAAAAGTAGAAGAAAAAACTAAGTTACCGCCACTCAAGTTCGGTAAGTCAGTAACAGTGCCAAAAAGACATAAAGAAGAAACGAAAGATATGGAAGATACGGAAGAAAATGAAGGTCATTTCTTCTTTGGTCAATATTTACTAGAACAAAATAAGTCGGACTCTACCAATTTATAATAATTTTTATTCCTATTAAAAATAGATGTACTCTGTAGCAACACAATGATATGGAGATTAAAATGATAAATGAAACTTTTTCTTTCCGTGTTCGATAAAGCGGTTATGATTTCTTTTATTGTAAAGGAATTTCTGACATAAAGAATCTATGGTGGCATATTTCTGCCACCAGATAACCTGATAACTAACTAGTTAATTAAGAGGTTAACTAGTTACGTAACTAGTTAACCTGATACCTAACTAGTTAATTAAGAGGTTAACTAGTTACGTAACTAGTTAACCTGATACCTAACTAGTTAATTAAGAGGTTAACTAGTTACGTAACTAGTTAACCTGATACCTAACTAGTTAATTAAGAGGTTAACTAGTTACGTAACTAGTTAACCTGATAACTAACTAGTTAATTAAGAGGTTAACTAGTTACGTAACTAGTTAACCTCTTAATTAACTAGTTAGTTATATGGTTATCTGGTGGCAGAAATATGTCACCATAAGAATCAACCTCGTTCAACATTTGTTAGTTGACAGGCAGTTGCCCTAAATGTGTTGATTGGTATGGGGAAATGTTTTTAATGAGTTTGTCTTCCCGCAGACAAATTTACTTTCTTTTGAACTCGACATTATTTCTTAATAAAATTTTCCTCATTTGTCTTTTCTGAATTTACCTGCATGGAATTAAAAGTCAATATTTTAACTGTCATATTTTATGACATTATTTACATTACAGTACATGTACAACTAAACTAGCTCCGACGCACTTAGTGTTGTGAGTATGCTTTTAATAACATGTACATGAGTTTAATTTGTACAAGCATATGACATCTTCGCGTGGGCTTCTGGTAACCTTGTTTCTTGTATCAGCACCATGTTTAATATTGCTGTTAACTTGATCTTTTGAGATTTTTCATGAGCAAACCCGTAGTGGAATAAGGCCATTTGGTAGGTTACAATGCTCTCCGGACGGTGCGCTCCGGAGAGATGTTTAATTGTAGTTAACATATACTTTGAACTTTTGAACTTTTATTTTCAAATTCTAGGCCTCTGAGAGGCATCAGAACACAACATATTAAACATGAACAAATGACGTAATACAAATTTGCTATATAACATGAACAAATGACATGATACAAATTTGCTATGACTAGATAAACAGAAAATTATCATATCAGACTAAATTTGAGAAATATCAGACAAAATTTGAGCAATATCAGACACTGAGCCATTTCTAACACAAAATTTGAACAAAGCAATATCAGACACTGAGCCATTTCTAACACATAGGTGATAAAAATACATGTTAGCCTTAAGAAACATAATATTATACTACACAATACTATTTACTATCAAAATGTATACATATATTACACAACCTCGTTTATCATTTGAAAACATGCATTACTTTCCTGCAATAAACAGCAAGTTTAACAAGCTCGTTTTTGTCTGTACTATTCATTAGCAATGAATATTTCAAAGTATTAGGATTACTAGTATATCTTACTGAAATATATTTACGACGCTCCTGCTTAAAAAAGTCACACACAAAACAGGTAATGAAATTCATCCCCTAAAGAGTTTGTATTACATAAATGATATGTTCTTTCATCTCTCGGGATACCAAAGAATCTCCCCTTTTCTATAGGTAATCTATGGTTCGTACATCTGAACTTTAAAATAGCATTAGACAAATGGTAAGGCAAAGTATCTAGATAATTTTCAAAAACAAAGGAATCTTTGTACATTCTGTAATTAAGGCTTTTACTGGACTCAGCCACAAAACTATGCCATTGTTGTAAATATTGATCTCTCAATCTAGTTTTAACAATGTTCTTGAACAATTGCTGTGAAGAAGGTATATTATACATCCAGTAATTTGACATGCCCAGAGAGTCCAATAAATTGTGTACATAATTGATCCAAGGTAGTTTTACATTGTTATCATCACTATACAACTTATAAGAAACATTATACAATATATGACATATTTTCTCAGGTTTAGCATTTAAAATTCTATTCCAGTAACATAAAATATGAGCCTTAACATGAATAGACAAAGGTAGCACCCCTAGTTCACCATATAGCATACAATTAGGAGTGCTTTGTTTTAACCGAAGAATAAGTTTATAGAATTTTAACTGAAATTGATCTATCAAGTCTAAATTTTCAATTCCCCACACTTCACTTCCATATAACAAAATGGGTGCTACCATTGTATCAAACAAATGTATTTGCATACTAATAGGCAGGTTCAGCCTTCTAGACTTTACTATTACAGAGAACATTGCTTTTCTAGCTTGTTGTAACAAGTATTCTTAGAAAGCAGGGCTTTTCCCGTGCGGTGCACGTACGGCATAATGGCTGTGACCAGCGCCAATTGACCCTTATATTGCCGTTAAAGAAATATAGATCCTCCAACAGACCCTCCAATCTTTCCAAATAGCTGGTGAGCTAAGAATTCGGCGGGGTTCGAAAAGAAATTGTATTTCGTTGATAAAATCATCGTGGTTCGGACTTATCCCGAGCGGTGCTCTGGTGATCTTGTTTCTTGACCCGGTGCCACACACATAAGCTGTAAAGGTAGCCTCCACCCTTTACAATGGGCCAAGAAATTGCCGCATAGGCTAACACCTATAACACGCGGGCATCTGACCTTGTTTTCTAATCACAGTGCTATGTCCTTTATATAGCCGTAAAAGAGGAGCATTCGTGCTTTTGCGGCAGGTAATTCTAAAGAAAATCGACCCACTGGGTATATATGACGTTGATTCTTACACCAGCATATTTTGATTATCTTTCTTTCATAACTTAGTTGTTATTTATTTCATTATCCTTGTTTACCTTTCTTTTAATTTAATAGTCAAAAAAATGTCTGTACAAATACCATACCTCCATATTTTGTCAAATGTCATAACAGATCAAATAGAAAAGAGAATGAATGATTAAATTGTCATAATATTATCAAGATTTTTACGTTAAATGAAATATGACGTCATTGACGTCAACACGTCATGGACATCACGTCGTTGCGAAGATACTCGACGACGGTTTCTACAACACAACTGAACAGATCGTGCATGCAATAAGAAGCTTACAGAAATGACGGAATATCTGAGAAATTTATTCAGCCGCTGTATCAAAAGTTATCAGAATGGTGACGCAAGCAAATCTCTGAACTATTCAGGTGACATCATTTACTTTTGTGTACCAAGAATAAATATGGAAGCATTTTTTGCTGACGGACCGCAGAAGTGGAAACTTAACATCAGTAGCTTTATGTGGTTGTATAAATATGCGACCAATGAACTTTTAGATAAACCTGGACATGGTTACATGTACGAGAAATTCGTGCTCGTAGTTGACGGTGAATACATGCGTGTTGAAGGCTGGGTACCAATACCAAAGCTCGACCTCAGCTGGTGTAGAACAGATGATGCACCACAAGTGAACGGCAAAACTCTTCAGAAAAAGGAAAGCAAAGAAAATGTTGTTTGTGTTGACATTTCAAAAAATGTGTCCAGAACAGAAAAGCTTATTGGGATTAAAGAAGAAGACATCTATACAAACAAGGCTTTATTGCTGTCAAAATCTCAACGTAACAGAATCAGATTCTGGTCCTACAGTCGTCACATGAACCAGTTTTGAACTAGTTCTTATATCATTTTACCAATTAAGACTTTTAGAATAACGCATGCCTGAGTACACAATTCATGTACCTTGGCTTTTGTGTACATGGATGGTTAGATAAATAAAATAGACGATTTGGGAAAGATATGAGAAATTGGAGATATATGGACATCTATGCAAATCTTATCTTTCTTACCAATTAATGTTGCTAATAACTATATCGATTGCTGTAAAGATATAAATAAAACACCTATTTTAAAAGAAATGGGTCTTAATTATTATTATTATACATGTATATATAGTCATATGCTACATGCAAGGGACAACCTAATTTTATTCCGTGAATGATAACAGATTTTGTGTCAATTAACGTTTTAATGTTAGCTACTACCTAATGACACGCTCCCTGCTTGCCTCGGTTAGGCCCCTGATTTTACGATTTTAAGGACGAGTATTCGGCCCTATTCCCCTCGATATCTTTTCTTCTTTTTGAAAAAAATCACTCCCAGATTACCACCGACAATGTAATATTGGTTTAACATATTTATCTAAGCTCGATTGGGAAACAAGTTCTTGCAACTTATATTAATCACTTTCGAGTCCGCTTCCTGGAACCCAACCAATACTGGTGACATATGAAGAAACATGGTCGTGACCCGATTAGGGCTCGAACCCATGATGAATGGATTGAGAGGCAGACACCTAAACCTAGTCATTATAAATTTGCTTTTTTGCAAAGTACAATATATAGTACAGTTTGTACATAACATTATGAGTATTTTGTCGATGGACAAAATCACCTCTTTTCTTCAAAAAAAATAAATAAATAAGACGACGCTAAATTCACCTACCTGAGGATCCCAGCCCGAGTACCCTATAAGGTAATGAGGGCCCTGAACTCGCATTTGGACATTCGTTGATTTTCGCTCGCGACACAAGGGCAGGAAATGCATGGGGGAGGAACTGTGACACAAAGGATGGAGTTGTTATGATAATTTGTCAGGAGTTTTTATGATAACTATCACGGAAATACTGGAAAACGTAACGGATTTTGACCGAATCTTTTATTATATACTGGAGAAAAGACACGTGAAAAATGGTTATTTTTAACTTCAAATGGGAAGTTTGAGGTGTTAAAATAAACTTTGATGATTAAACTTGCCTTACATTTTACAAAAAAACTTTATAGTCCATTTTCTATCGCATTTTGTTTAAAATCTGGTAGTTTTGAGTTAAATTTCCAAATTACTTGTTCATTCGTACATACTGACCTTTTCAATTGTGATTTCCTTCTTTGCCATACTTAATTACTTAATTATAATGGAGGAAAGTTGCTAACGTAAAGCCCAGGTTAATGACTTTATACCCGATTTTTCAAATGTCACGGAGTTCTTGTGATAACTCCGAAGATGTCCCGGAGTTCTTAAGACTTATGATAAGTTTTCTTACTGTCAGTGTGTTTCTTGTGTTAATTAATTTGCGGCACGTTTTAGCGTATTTTATTAGTCAATAAATGTGTAAATCGTTTATGAAGAGTATACA